GAAATAGAATGACAAAATACAGCAAATGAAAGTAAAAAATGTCATCAGGTAAATAAAATGCTGTAAATTTAAAGTTTAACCCTGTTCGTATCGGCGGGCGTTCGTAAGTCGGGGACCCTCTACTGTATTTTGTTTGTTCCCTTCGAATCTGACCTTAAATTCCTTGGGAATATTGACACGTACAGTACTAAATTAGCCTAACCTTACCCACATAAATTATCTTAGACCTAGTACACTGTGGGTGTGCGTGGGTACAGGGCAGCATCAAGACAAACTAGGGCCCCGGGCACTTTATCGAGAGGGGCCCCCCTTACCCCATCCCCCTACTTTTTTCAGGAAAAAGAAAGACATTGTAAATTTCAAATAAAGGTAGTTTATTTTTTTACTTTTTTTTTGTGAATTAAATTTTTCAAATAATAAATTTTAAGGCCATTTCAAGTGTTTTCTCTTTAAGTTTTAAGTTGCATACATTCATTACCAGCAGTCGTATTTAGATTATTCAGAAACAAAAATTTACCTTTCAATAAAATTAAATCTGACAAAATTGTAGAAATCAGAATGTATGATTTTAATTAATTTATTAGAAGAAACAACTGTATCTAGATGAAGTACTTTATAGATGTATTTAACTAAATATTAGCCTTTCAAGCTTTCATAGCAGCAAAATGGGAAACCACATCTTCAAAGTCAATCTCACGTGTTAGATTGCTTTCAATGGACATGAGGGCAAGGCAGTTCAGCTTATCTTGGCTCAATGTAGCACGCCTGTCACTTTTCACCAGTTTAATTTTTGAGAAGCTGCGTTCTGCTTCACACACAGTGACAAGCAATCACAGAAATATTCTCAAAGCTATGCTGACATTTGGAAAAGTTGCTTCCAAATTCTGATGTTTTATGAACTTGAGCATCGACAGTGATGAATCCATATTCTCTTTCAATCTGATCATAAAATTATAAAAAATTTCAAATTCATCAGCACAATCAGAATCAAAATCATCTCTGTATTTTACTGTGAGATGGATTATTCTAGCTGGCAAATGCTCTTTGTTTTGATCTGAGAAACATTTTAGAAATGCAAAATCATCTGCTAGTCCTCTATAAGCTTCTTTACGTTGTGCAAGACAAGACTGCAGTTTATCTATGATTAGAGTGAAAGTTGGCACTCTGAACATCTGACCTGGGGATTCTGTGAATTCTTTATCTGGTGATTTACTTTCATCAAAATATCTCACGTTTTCTCTGACGTTTATCTTCATATTGACAATGTTGGTTTATGCATGGCATGGTGTTCTTTGCATCATCTTCAATCTCGTCAAATTTTTCACGCAGTTTCTCAGTGAACTCCTCTAAAGACTCAAGCAATGATGTGGCTGTCAGGCAATCTACACTTTCCTTTTGCAGTTTGGCTCACTTTATTGAACCGATTAAGTATTCTATTCCACATTTTTGCCATGAAACCTGTTTCAAGCTTTTCTAGGCCAGCAATTAATCCATTTGCTTCTGACCTCAAAGATTCAGGTTCATCATCATTAGCCACAAAGTCTTTCAAGTTTTCATATAGGCTTTTGTAGTTCAGGCACAATGCTTTTGTAGCCTCAGCATGGCAAGACCATCACATAGTTGACAAGCGTTTTAAATTTAAAATCTTGTTGTTTCCATTTGGAATGAAACCCTTTGTCAAGATAGCCCAACGATGTGTTGATCCTGCGCAGAAAGCACAAAGCTTGTTCAGCAAACCAAAAAATTTTATGGCTTCCAAACAACAACTAACACTATGTACTCCGACCAGGTTCAGTGAATGGGTAGCACAAGGTACATAATCAATGAGACTATTTACATCTTTGATTTTTCTTTGGAGATGTTCATATTTCCCAGACATACTGGCAGCATTATCGTACGATTGTCCACGACAATTTTGAATATCTATGTCCAATTCATTCAATGTGTCCAGGACCTTATCACACATATTTTCTCCTGTGTGAATACTGAAGGGAAGGTAAAGCAAAAAAACGATCCACTGGTTCACCAGACGAAGAAACATGCCGAATAGTGAATGCAAGTAGGTCAGTTCTTGAAGTATCGGATGTAGAATCTAAACATTATTATAATTATTATAATTATTATTATTATTATTACTATAATTATTATAAAAAATATTTGCAAGCTCAAGGGCCCCCGGCCCGGGCTCCTTGGGCACCGTTATTAATGCAGCCCTGCATGGGTGACGCAAGGGTGGCATGATGGGAAGTGAAATGGACATTGGCTATTGGTCGGTTCCTGCTTGCCACACGGTGATTGGTCACAGCTGGGGAATCAATATTTTTTTTTCATTACTTTTTATTTTTGTAATGAATTTCCATGGATGATGTAAATTACTTTAAAGCACATCACAAATGAAATAACCAGAAAAAATACTTATTTATATCCAAATGAAGCGGCAGTAATAACGAATAATATCCTCTAACTATAGGTACAGTCTCACCCAAAGGTTCGTTAACTCTCCCAGCCAGCTATTTCTGCACTGCCTGCTTCGGATGTATAAACTTGAATCTTGTTACTTCGAGCCTTTAGATTCATTCGTATCGGTTTCATGTTCTGGTTGGTTCCGAGACAGTTTCAAACATCTGAAGCAGACAGTGCAGCAATAACTGGCTGGGAGAGTTAATGAACTTTTGGGTGAGACTGTACTGTATTAAGGAAAAGTTTAAAACATTATTACTGTACCTAACCTAACCTAACCAAAACAACCTAAGGAACCAAACCTAAAGACTCTAATACTGCATCAGTATACACGCCTTTTCTAACCTAATTTATCATCAAGTAACAGAAAAATGAAGAGATAAGATAAAATAAAAATAAAACCGAACCCATCATCACGTGAAATGTGCGAACAGCGAACCGACTGTACTCAGGAAAAAGTGGTAATAGCCATTTTGTAATAAATAAGGTAGCTATACCATAGACCTCACAATTTCACAGCAACAATGCTGCAATAGCTATCCATTTAATCAAACCTTACTGATGCAGAAATTGGTCAAGGTGGACCAAAAGATCCAATGGGCTAAAGTTTATGGGATCTTTTAATCACAAATAGTAAGGCCTATGTAACAGGCTATGTAGCAGTACATTTCCAGTGTATCCAAAGTCAATGATACAGTATTGTAGTTTCTAAGATATGCTACAGTCCGTAACTGTGACCTCAACATGCTTTGACAATTATAATATGCAATGTAACCATTTAGGCACATTTAGTCAATCCACATAAAAAGATAATAATTTGTAGTATATATTTTTCATTACACTTATTGTTTGCTGAGAAATATGTCCAAGATCACAGCTGTTGATTTGAAATGTGTTATTCCCAAAATATTACAAGATCCCTGCAAGATTGCAGCCTAGATTAAACCATGTCAAACTTATTGAATAAGGCAGATTTTTTTTTTTCAGGGATTAGCCACCTGGGCACAGGTCACCTGCCCACATCGGGGCCTGGGGGCCGAAAATATAACAATAATAACAATAATAACAAAAATAATAATAATTAGTTCATAGAAAATAAAAGTTATAATAAAAAGTACAAAATTAAAAATAAAATAATAACACTGATGATAATAATAATAATAATAATAATAATAATAATAATAATAATAATAATAATAATAATAATATTAATAATAATAATAATATTATTATTATTATTAATATTATTAATAATAATATTAATAATAATAATAATAATAATAATAATAATAATAATAATAAAGAACCATTAAGAAATAAAAAAATACAAAAGATCAATAGTGAGAAACAATTTATGTATGTTGTGTTGTCAAAGAGAAATAATTGAGACCCTGCCATTGTGTGTAAATGAGGCAGAAAGTCAGATCAGCAACCTGGGACTTGGTCACAATTTTCGTGATGCTATATGGCAAAAGGGTCTACCATTAGACAACACATTATGCTTCCAATATCTTCCCAGGCGGAAGTACCTCCCTGTTTTATAGCTACCTACTACCTATTGTAATATAAATAAATAGGAACATAATCAAATAAAAATTTTAACAGAACTCTCCAGATATGGTAAAAAAAATAATGGTATTTTAGTTTCGGTCATCCGGGGAATCTTAGGAATTTAGCTATTGAAATTGGTAGGGGTCTGGGGGCCAAAGCCCCCCCTCCCCCTCGGTTAGGTTAGACATAGTTCCTGGGTTTGTGGCTAGGTTAGGCTGGTTTGGTTACATAAGGTTCGGTTAGGTTGGTTAGGGATAACAGAAACTAAAATTTTACCAAAATAAGACATCCACAGTACTCAAAATTCATCCAAACAGTTCCATTAGTGTTGAAAACAAGACCAGTTAGATTCGTACAGTAAAAGCTAAGGATTGTTACGATAAGTAGATTAAATTAAGAATGAATTGTTTCATTTAATTTTATATATGTCTAAAAATGTACATTACATTACTCATTAGAGCACGTCTATTTCTCCTCAGAGCCATGGGTTTGGCTTGCACTGGTGGGTTTTATTAATAAACCTCAGTGGAATATGTAGATTTTCTTCCACTCAAATTGGAAGTCAGGAAAGAGAACGAGAGGTTCAATTTCATAATGAAACCACTTAGATATATACTGTACTCACACACACAAAGAGGTACTGTGTCTCAATATACATACTCCATACCCACAATGTCATTAAAAAATGTGTCCATTAATATGCTTCAAACACAGCATGAGACTCTACTACGATTATTTCCAGCACTTGTTCTGTATAACTATCAAGCTAATTATTTCTATTGATGTTCTCTTAACTTAGTTCGTCATGACATTTGGTTAAAAAACGGTGTGGTTTCAGTTGATATGTCAAAACAATTGTTTTGAGGTCATTTAATAGAATAAGGAGTCAATGCTCAAATCATTATCTCTGGTTTTCATCTGCTGTTGCATGGTGTGGGAAGGTGTTATTAGAAACTGTGCAGCTCTGACATTAGGTCATGTGGAACTAGTTACATATTATAAGCATAACATGAATGAAAATTAGAAAATCGAATAGAAACAATGGACAGTACCTGTGTGGTGTAGGGGTGTGTGGCTAGGTCGACAGCATCTTGCACCAGCCTCTCCTTCAGCAGCCCACTCAGCTGGGTGTGGGGGAGCCTTACTAGCTCTGCCCGCCCGGCCTCGTATGCGTCCAAATAGCGTGCTGGAGTTGTGGTAGATGTCATGGGTAGTGACATAGAGGGTGGGGGCTCACCAGGGGTAGAGGCCGTAGAGCCTGACCCACGAGACCCACGGGAGGACCGAGACGAGCGGCCCCGCGACCCACTAGAGTTACGGAGGGTAGTGTGGTCGCGCGCTGCCAGCTGCGCCTCCTCCACCGTGAAGTACACAGAGGCAGCACCCTCCTCTCGCAGCAACATTACAGCATTCAGCAGGGAAGTTCGGTGACCCGGGTTCACCACACCGATGGCGTCCAGGTCTGGGGCACCGATCTGTTTGCATATCTCCAGGTCATCGTAGCCGTTGTCGATGAAAGAATCAGCGTACTGCTCCATGTGGAGGGACCTAAGCCACTCCTCGACTATGGTCTCCTCCATCTCCATCACAGAACTACACCAACACTAACACTCTTCACTCATTTCATTAACAAAGCCAGGGAGGTGTTGGCATGCGCCTGACCCATGCACCACTTGACACTTGACTGTTTACACCGCGGGCTGCTCGCTCCCCTCCGCAGCTCCCAACAGATGGCTCTGTGAACCTTAACAAGTGACTGGCGCTGGCTCACGCGCGCGGTTAACTTAAACAAGTTTTTCCACTTATCCATACCACCAAATAAGGTATATCCGCCAACTAAAATCTAAATTGTCTTTGATGAGAATTTGTAATCATAACAGAGTATTATAACCATTATATACGGCAAATTTTAATAACTAAGGTTAAGTTAGTGATCTGATTGAATTGTCCAATGTATGTTACATGTAAAGTTAAACAATGATCCAGTTTTATTCCACTAATTATACGGTGAATTTATTAATCAATAATATAATTCATTAATTAAAGTCATAAGCTAATAATGAAAACAGCTCACCAATACCCGTATGTACAGCGCTTCTGGTGGGCCTTACCTTTAAAGCAGTCATTGAATTATAAGAAATATATAAGAACCTATATGGTTATACAATACGTTGGTAATATAGATATTATCTTTAAGAATTCCCAAAAATGGAATATTTAGTATCATTAATGAATAAACTTTGTTCATTAAACGTAATAAGAGAACTCGGCAAAATTCTTTGTTTCAGCAAGACGTAATATACATTACTGAATGACACAAGCATTATTTAATATAACAAAGAAAAATGAAATTCCAGTTTTTCACACAATGTTCTGTTAGAATTAAAATGAAACTAAAGTTAAGATACTTATTTAAGACAATGCAATTGCACATGTACAGTCTCTTTCAAGATTCGTCGAACATTGCTGGAGACAGCTGGCAACTCAAGGCCGTTTGTTTACTATAGTACGTAGTAAAAATTATGATTGAATGTAAAAGGTTATCGGTGATTGGTTACTTAGTTCCCTGTTGCTTAATTATTGGATGGGCTTTGTTGTTTCGTATTATATTATACTACGACGGTACTATAGTAAACAAACGGCTTTGAGTTGCCAGCAGTGTTCGAAGAATCTTGAACGAGACTGTATTTTACAAAAAAAATATTCATTTAGTAAGTATGAATATATGATTCTACCTCTGCCAATTTCATTAATTTATAATATTGCATATTCATAGCTCATCATAAGTCAGCTCTCACGCAGTTTCCTACTGTAGTCAGAAGTAGATGTTGTGCTTATCCGTCTATCTTTACTCTTGTGTGTGACTGTGTGTGGGGGGGGGGACTCAATAGAGACAGAAACCTCAAAGGTGTGGATATGATTTGAGATAGTGTTGCTTGCTTGTTAGTTTGCTTGTTTTGGATTTCCTGGCAGTCAACTTTTTGTTTGCAGAGAATAGCCCACCCGGGCGCAGGTCATCGACCCACAATGGGGTCGAGGGGACGAAAATATAAGAGTAAAACTAAATTAAAACTAGAAAAGAACAAGATTATATTAATCTACACCACGAAGATGCGGGAAAACCAGCTTTTTTAAGTGAGACAGATTGTATGAGTATGGAAACAGAAGAAAGCATAGCATTCCACAGTTTTGCTGTGTGAGGAAAGAAGGATGTACGATAACGGGTTATTTTAGCGTGACCGACATCCACAAAGAAACTGTGGGCACCGCGGGCAAGACATGTGTTACGAGCCCACAACCTTGCCGGTGGTACACAGGATGCCAAATCTACCGAACATTGCCTGTTAAAGTACCTCTAAAAGAGACAGTGAAGCAACATTGCGGCGAAGAGAAAGGGAAGAAAGATTATCAACTAAAGGAGGAGAGTTAAGAAGACGAAATGCCTTTGATTCCACCCTATCTAACAGTTGGACAGAAGAAGAGCCACCCCAGATATGAGAGCAGTACTCCAAGTTAGGACGAATGAATCCCTTATATACTTGAAGCAACTGCTCAGGAGTGAAGTAGCTACAGCATCTGTACAGCATTCCTAGATTTCGGGAGACAGCTTTAGCAATGTTGCGGATGAGTGACTTCCATGACATATTAAAGGAAATGGTGAGGCCTAGCATACCTATTTTAGAATTTGGCTGAATGATTGTGTCCTGAAATGTGATTGGTGGGAGATCGTCTAATTTGGAAAGTGTAATTGGTAATTACTGAGTTATTACTATTGGATTTAACCAAGTTTCTACCTCCTCATTCGGAGATGCTGCACAGATCCGCATTGATAGATGTAATAATATCAGCTCTACAAACAGATCTAGTTTGAGAATTAGGGGAAGGGGAAAATGTGAAGAATGAGGAGTAGAATCATTAGCGTAAGAATGGATAGAATTAGCGGTAGTGTGAAATAAATCATTGATAAAAAGAAGGAAGAGAGTAGGTGAAAGAACAGAACCCTGTGGGACACCACTATTGGTAGAGAAAGAGCGAGAGATCGATCCCTCGACAACAACTGCCATGGATCGGTTCTCAAGGAAGCTAGAAATTAGAGAACAAAGTGGGGAAGAGAAGCCATAAGAGGGAAGTTTAGAAAGCAAATACTTAAGTCATACCCTGTCAAATGCTTTGGAGATCTCGAGGGCCACGGCCTAATACCTGTACTTGTGGTAGCGGTTTTATTTGGTGTCAGCGTATTTGGCAAATGATTCGACCCGTGGCATCCCTCTTTCAAGTTTTCTTCTATTTCTTCTTATATCTCGGCTTCTTGTCACCTGGCGGTTGAGGATCAAACGCACACCACACATTTATCTATTTTTTGTGGGGGGGGGTGAGATATTTTATTTATAGTCAATGGTGATGAATGGTATTAGAATGGACTGCTTGATAGTATGAGTGAGGTAGTATCACGCGTGAGTTGTGTGCTAATATCCTCAATTTACAAACGCAGCATACACATGGTAAATCTTCAGTATTCACATTGCTTCACAACGCTTTATAACTTCCATTGTGTATGTATCATTCTAAATTGAGTCGTCAGGTTCTACGTGCTAGTTAACACAATCTTGTACGAGAGATCACTGCTCATGGTCCACAATCATTTGCTCGATAATATCTAACCTGCCACCTCTGGAAGTTATAAAGTATAAACTCGTCTTTGGAGTGTAATCTAACACTTCCTCAATCTCCACTTCCTCAATCTCCATATCACTCTTGTTTCTCCAACCGCGTCTTCATAACCACCCTTTATTCATAGTTACTCTCAGCCTCTCTGATGATGTATGGGCTGAATTTATATTTTTTCTTATTCACTTTTTATCCTTCTTTCTTTCTTTTTATTCTTTTCTACTTGTTTTTATTACTTTTCTCTTGTATACTTGTCTCTTATCTAGTTATATTCTGATCTAGGGCTTACCTGGGAACCTCTTGTTACTTTACAATCCCCAATACTCACGATAGCTACCACCACCCAGGTTTTTCTATCAGAACATACTATAATAATAATTATTGTACGCGAACATGATCCAATTACAGGGTAAATTTAACCAGGGGATTAACGGCACTCAGGGATACATCGCGTGTTCGATTTTAGACGCAAGCCTACACACTGCGTCGAGTTGTTCCACACTGTGCGGCCGGCCTCAGAGCGACATGCCCTTAATGTGTTGACCTGGGACATAAAAAAAAAGCATTTCTGTTGCAAGAGACACAAATATATAGCATTGCAAACATTCCTGCATTTTTAATTATATCCTGTAAAACTCATTTGTAAAATCTTCTAAAAACTGTTTTGAAATTTACAAATTAAAAATGCTGTGTAGGAATTTTGTTGTGGGTCGGAGAGGCTTTTAGTGAGCAGAATTTCTAACCTGGATCGGAGGCTTCGGAGCGGTGGTGTTAGATGGGGCGGGGGGGCGATTAATTAAACAGGGATAAATATACAAATAGATAAGTACAGATAATGACAGATAATTAAAATCAGAAAATCTAATAAATAAAATAGTCGAATAGATCGATAATGAATAGGAAGATATTTTTAGAGCCAGATAACCAAAGAGACCGATAAGCAGAGAAAGATAAATCAAAGGGGCAGAAGATATTCAGAGACAGACCGTCAGCCTGTGATTTTAAGATTTTTTATTTTTTTTTTTTTTTGGATTGCCCCCGAGGGGGCTAGTTTATTGGGCACCCCTTACATTCTGTGCAAGGTGAAGCGCAGAAGCGTTTACAGCGCCCATCTGGGAAGCATGCGTAGTTCATGCTTGCCTTTATGACTCGTGCATTAAGGGTGTAAGCTGACAGTGAATCAAAGAGAGGTTAAAGGTCAGAAGTCTTTTCTTTTTAATCACATTCGCCACTTATCAGCTTACTAGCCGTTTGGGCGGTTTATCCAGTGTTAGTATAGAAGGAAATCGGGGACCGGGAAACCTGTGGTGTTTGGTAGGGTCACACTCGATAACACCCTTCTCACGTGTGTCCAGGCCGAGGCTCGAACCCTTGACATATTTGGTGCGAGTTTAGCGCGTTACCGCTGTACCACCAACATGGAAGCATAATAAGATAACGGTACTTCAATACATCCGCTTTTTATCCCCTTTTTATTTAAATATGAACCATGAATAATTCTTTAAGAACTTAATGTAGCTCATAACGCTTTATTTCCATTAAGGTGACAGTAACAAACACATATGATAATATAGTCATGTTTGTAGCATTAGATGAAAACACAATATTATCTTGGTCTTATTTATATAATAAACAATGGATAAAATTGCTAAGCCACCAATATCTGGTACACGTCTTTACCATGAATTACAAACTCCTGAATTGCTGATGTTGAAGCCAGGGCCAGATTCACACACGTTCGTACAATGAATAATTCTTGTAACTGGATGTTATAATGCACCTAACTTAGCTAAAATTACCCTAAACTAGCCTACCCTAAACTAACATACACTGACCTAACAGAACCTAATCTAACCTAACTGTTGGAATAAATTAAAATACAAAAAAGAACAAAGAAATACCACCAAAGCTGTACGGAGTCTATCTCAACTTGGTATGTCCACTTGACACCACTTAGGCGATAAATTTAACTTTATATGCAATGGTTAAATTTAAGGGTTTAGTAAATCAGAATCCACATGTAATGAGAAATTTAAGTACAAGATTTCTTAGGGGCTTTTAAATCCACATGTCATGACTCATTTATTTTTAGATGGGTAAAGTAAACTAAAATCCATTTTGAAATTCATTTCAAGTCTGAATTCAAGGGTAAAGGATACTTTTCTTATAATGGACCACCAGGCCTATGTGATACACTTTTAGAGTAAGTTTAATTCATATGTCAAAAGAGAATTTTAGGAGATAGGTTATGTTAGGGTTTATTAGTTAATATATGAATGTCAAGAAAGAATTTTAGAAGTTAGATTAGGCTAGTTTGGTTAGGCTAAGTAAGGTGTTCTTAATATTCGAATGTCAAGAAAGATTTTTGGGTGTCCTTTTCTTTTAACCTCTTCACCACTGACCGGTTCGTTAGACGCTTGGCCGATCGGTCACGTCTCTGTTACGCGTGTAGTGTTGGCAAGTACCGGGCATGCACTGGCTCCTAAATGTATCTGAACCTGCTCCAGTGTTGGTCAAGTCTGGTCTTGAAAGAGCTCACACTCGGTGCCGTCACAACACTCTCTGGCAGGTTGTTCCAAGAGTCCACAATTCTCAATTCGAAAAAGTTTGTCCTCACAGTTTTCTGGACTTTTGGCTTCTTCAACCTTGAGCTATAACCCTCTGTGGGGCGTACGTCCGCCAGCTCCAGGTCTGGGCACTCGACTGAGTAGTGCCCTCCGAAATATTTATAAACTTCAATTAGGTCATCCCTTGCCCGTCTGTAGTATAAGATAGGCAGTTGCAGGCGTTCTAATCTCTCTAGATAACTAAGGTGCCGTAGTGCAAGCACCAGTCTGATGGTCCCCCTTTGGACATTTTCAATCAACTGACAGTCTAACATTTCTTGGGGACCAGACGGCGTGACAGTACTCCAGATGGAGAAGCACTTCAATCTTGAAGATCGTTACGAGGGACGGACCGTCTAGATATCTGAACGACCTTATAAGACCCAATAATTTATTTGCCTGATTTACCTTCTTCTCGCAATGGCCCGAGAACTTCAGCTCATTGTCAACATACACACCTAGGTCCTTCTCACATTTAGTTTCAAATAGTGCAGTTTCTTCATCCCGTTGGGACATATGATACGCCTCCTTACCGTTGGTACGCCCCAGGTGCATCCTCTTACACTTCGTGACATTGAATCTCAGCAGCCATTTCTTCGACCATTCTTGGAGCCCACAGAGATCCTTCTGCAGCTCTTCACAGTCCGCAGGGTTCTTGATTTCCCGAAATAGCTTGGAGTCATCGGCAAACATTTGTATGGAGGAGTGTACAACGTCAGGCATGTCATTTATGAAACAAACAAACACCAGTGGGCCCAATACACTGCCCTGTGGTACCCTGCTTGTGACAGGTACAGATAATGATTTCGTGCCATTAATCACCACACATTGCTTGCGGTCATGTAGAAAGTCTTCTATACACGCTAAGACATTTCCCCGAATTCCGTACCCTTCCAGTATGATTCCTTCCAGTTTGATTTTCAGCATTTCGTGGGGTACACTGTCAAAAGCCTTGGCAAAATCTAGGTACTGTATATATATTGTCGATATTACCACCCCATTCCAGAATATGGGTCCAAATATATACATACATAATTATTGTCAAGCAAGTGATTGATAGATTTGTAAGTCGATTTAAGGATAGATAGTCCATGAAATGTGTTAAAACCTTATTAATCAGTTTAGCTTACGTAATTAAACCAGTATAGGCCTACCCGTCAGTTTGGGTCAATCAATGAGAAAGAGAGACTGCTAGAATCTATACAAAGCAGTCATTAACAATGTCATCACGCGGTAAAATATATTACGTGACAGATTAAAAATTACATCAGCTATCACTGTAAAGGAAATTATTTGATATCTAGATTAATTTCTATATCAGGGTTATACAAATAATATTATAACTTACTGGATAAATACATTTCATAAATATTAATTTATTTTCATTTAATGTTTAGAAATTAGATTATAATCGTAATAAAAATTATACATTGATGTTTTGTAATATTGTCTGTGGATTCAGTCAATAACTCAAGTAGGATATAAAGCCCCGGGAGAGGTTGTCACTCACGCCAGCTGCTGGACCACATGATAGCTCTTATAGTCTTCATCAACCTTATCTTTCCTTCAATATAATGATGACAAACGATAACAAAGAAAAGTAAGTCATTAATATGTTCTCATTACGATAAGTTTAAGTGTTAGAGTCTTATAATTTATTGGTGAAATATAATTAGAATAATACCTACACTAGTAGATTTCAAGCTGTGGTTCATTTCTGCTTAATTCAGACAGTTCAGTAATTGTGTTTTATAAATTCACTACGTAAAAGCATTGAGGTGAACTTACATGCCATATTCAAAGTAATTTTATAATTTAGTTTTCCAATTCTAGAATATACTTTTCCCATAGATTAACCTTTTGATGCTAATCCCTACTAAATCTATGTACACCAGTGTGAAGGAAAAGTTAAAACATGAAAAAAATGGTAAAATTGGAGCAGATGGCTAATACCAGAAGGAATTCTTAGATTTGGGTCATTTTTTTCACATGTTCTTTGGATGATAGTATGTAATAAAACGATACGACAAATATTGGCATTAGTACAGTTTCGCAGTACCTTTTTGTGATATGATTAGTATTACTGGTACTGTTTTGTCATGTAAGAACTTTACTTTTTTACTTTGCCACTTTTCAGCTTACGAACCGTTTGGGTGCTCTATCCAGTGTTAGTACAGGAGGGAACCGGGAAACCTGTGATGTTTGGTTTGGTCACACTGGATAACTCTTCTCATTTGTGTCCTGGCCGTGGCTCGAACCCTTGACATATTGATGAGTTTTGTGCGTTACTGCTGTACCACCAACACCGCATTTGCATAACTCTTAGGACTCATAATGAGAGAGATAAATTAACTTATAGGAGATATAAAATAGCCTGAGTAGCATTGAGAGCAAGTAGTAAACAACCAAAATGGGGCGTCTTCTCAGTGAGTGCTTCTGTAGGTATATTCCTGTGGGCTTTGCAGCCACTGTACAGCTGTGCTTTATTGCTTTAAATTTGCTACTAATCACCAAGAAACCACAAGAGAGGAAAAATTGAAAACTGATAGAGGAAACTGCAGTTAGGGAGGGAGACATATCTGTAGAATGAAATCATGTGGCTTGTTAATAATGAAAGACTGAGAAGCTCACTTGAAAATCATTGACACTTAATATGAATGAGGTAAAATAATAGTGATTTTTTTCTACTTCCAGCTCAGAAGATGCACCAAGCAAGAAAGCCTTGAAGAAAGCACAGAAGGCAGCAGAGAAAAATGCTAAGAAAGCTGAATATAAAGCACAAAATGCAGCACAAGCTGTAAGTTCATGTACAGTATTTTATTTGGTTAAACACATGACTTGTGTAAGTTGTGTATGATAAACACTTGTGCACAAAATGGCACTTCTATTTTTCTCCCTTCAAAGCCTCGAGTCTTATTTTTGAAGATATTGGATTAAGAAATATTAAATCTTTTAGAGTTGTCATTCTGGCCAAGTTTTTAATTGTATTTTGTCAAATTCATACTGTGTAATTTGGATTTTCTGTATATTTTTCCATTATTGGGTGCTTTAGCTGGAATATGACATTTTGCAGGATGTCGCTCAAGAAGAAACAGGGGACTGTTCAGTGGGACTGTATGGGAACCTGCCTATGAACAGGAGTCAGGAGAAACTACCAGTCATACATAAAGAAATAAAAGATCTTAACAAGAATTTAACCAATGAGACTGTTACACTTCGTGCTCGTCTTCACACAAGTCGTGGGAAAGGTAAATAGTGAGTCTACACTATATATACAGTATGGTATTTAGAGAGTTCAATTATTATTTGATGAATATATAAAGGGATGTTTCAGTACTCTGTACACTATTATGCTTTGCCCAAATACTGAACAGGGAGGCAAATGCCAGGTCTTGTAAGGTAAACCATTTCCTTACATACAGTGCATCCCCAAATTTACACTCTTACACATGTCTTTCCATTTCCACTTGGTCTCTCATTTCATCTTTTCCTATCATCTTAGTCCAGCAAATTATCTTAATTAATTTTTGCACATCCAATATCCTTTCTATTTGTCCTTTAATCTCAGATTTCCATTCTTTAATTATCAACCTCTCCACTTTTGGGTTCCAAATATCACCTACATCATCACTTGTTCTTTTGTTGTAATAGACATACAGGTACTGACTTAAACCATATGTAATGCAATCAATAGGGATTACCATAGATAATCATTCAAGAATTAGGACATCAAATAAGATATAATAAGAACTGGTTGTTGCATGCAGATTCCATCCATTGTGTTTTGATGATAATGAAAAAAAATCTGGATTTTCTTAGCCAAAGGGGTATTACTGTATTGCATTTCCGCACACAACATTCTTACCCCTAATCTATTATCATATTGAATAAGACGTCTAATAATAATATAATTTTCTTCTATTACATTACCGTTGCAAATGTATAATAACGGAACTAGCATATCCAAAATGTTCTCTATTTTCTTCCATTAATCTTCCGCCATTATCACATACCTTACCTCCCACACTGCGTGCCTCCATCATAATCATCACGCGCATGCGTTCCCGTACACGTCACGCGGCCAATCAATTTTTTTTTTATTTAATTTTTTTTTTACAACCAATTACTACAGTACATTGATTTTTGGCCCAATGAAATTCGATTTTTATTTTGGGTCTCATTTCAAAATTCAAATTCATTTCCGACCATGGAAGTCTGGTACAGGTACTGTACATAGAGGTTTTCCAATTCTTGCATAATCTGTCCTCTTATGACCTTTGAACCAGAGAAGGGATTTTGATGTTAATTTACAGAGGTTAATGTCAACTAATATGTCCCAGCCATCTTCCTGTCCCTCACTTAAAGGTTGTTTCATAGCTTGGAATCAAAGTTAATTGTTTTTTTTTTTGGGGGGGGGGGGGATCCATCAGTTAATCATATTTTCTTGTGTTTTCTGTGTGACTTGAGGTAATTCTAAAAATTTAAGAAATTCATTGAGCACTTCCTCAATTTTTCAATCCAGGACTCTATCCCATTTGCTCTTGGCCACCCTCCCTGCTTTTAAAAGAATGTTCCCTGCAGACATCAGTTGAAATGTTAATAGGAAAATTTAATAAGAATTTTCTCAATAGCTAGATAGGACAAGCTATATTTGGAATGGGAGAGAAGTATGGGGACTAATAACTAATAAATGAATGAATGTTTATTGCAGGGAAGCAGGCATTCTTTGTGCTACGAAGCAGAGAACATACCGTTCAGTGTGTGATAGCAGTTGGTGAAAAGGTTTCCAAGCAGATGATCAAGTTTGTCTGCAATATCACCAAAGAAAGCATTATTGATGTTGAAGGAAAGGTAAAGATTGATGAAAATATTGTTGGTTGAGTGTTCAGGATTATCTACTTACTTAACATATGTGGCATTATCTACATTCACAGTAGGATTGTGTACAGTATCAGATTTCACTTCTTACATTTGTGTTGCAGACCATCTTTATATGTTTCCTTTGATCCTTATTCTCTAGCAGTGCACAAAGCCTTTACTCATGAAATCTTCTGTTTGGTTATCAGAAAAATAATTAAGAAAATATTGGTTATCAGAAAATTTCTTGAAAAAGCTATGCTGCAAATACTGTGCTATTTTCAAATGAAGTATTAGACATTTTTATAGCTTAAGGAATTTTTACTGTAATCAAACTGTAGTTAATATTAACCAAAATAGATTAAACATTTTCATTATGATTTGCCTTGCATTAATCATCACTATTTGTCACCTGATTGAAAATGCCATTTAGTCTTGTTTTGTGTTTATGGTCTTGTAATACTTTAACTAAGTTCCTGATGACCATTATTTTATTTGGCCATAGTGGTTAAACTGCTACAAGAACTTTAGTTAAAATACAATAGATGTGAAATAAGTCCCATCACAAAATGTGCTAACTGGTTAGCTGGGGCAGCAGCAATGAATGGCTTACTACAATATCTCAAGGCACGCTGGTGGGAGATATACAAGAATGATCTTGTTCAAAAACACTGGAAAATTTATAAATATACAGTACAGTCAAACTTCTAAAATCCAATTCTCCAGAATCTGGTAGTATCCAAAATTTGAATGGAAAAATCCCATCATGTGCTACTCGCTAAAAACATGCTAAGTGTTACTCACTTCAAAAAGCTGGATTTCCAGCATCTTCGTGGTGTAGATTAGTATAATATTTTTCTTGTCTATTTTTAATTGGCATTTACTTTGTATTTTTTTGCCCCCCTAGGCCCCTTTGTGGGTCGATGACCTGTGCCCGGGTGGGCTATTCCTCGTAAAAAAAAAAAAAAAAGTTTGCTGCGTCAACTTGGGTCTCACAAGATGGCAGCATGGGCAGTAGCCCTGATTATTTTTAGATTGTTTTTAATGTATGTCCTGTTGCTTTTGTAAATATTTTATATATAATTTCTTTTTAATGTACTGTACTGATACTGCATTGCTGCTATTGTAAATATTATATTTAATACTCTCTGCTGGACGTTGTAATAGTTTTCATTCATTTCCCTACACATAGGAGACAGCTCCAAGAGTCTGAGATCCCACACTCTCGTGCACAAAGAAATGTGTATTCCCTTTATTTTTTTTACCTAATGGGATGTATTTATTTATTATTATTTTTTTTTGCACAATGCCTACATTGGATGGAGTGTACATGTAACATAGTTAAAAAAAGTAAAAATAATGTATATCTACTTGAAATTACAAGCTGCTTCTATAAATATTGCATATACCTGTACTGTAATGAGGTTTAAAGGCAAACAATGACTTTTACTTTTCACAGTATTTAAGGAACTAAGAAAGTAATAGGATTTCTGTCAACTTCTGTATAAGTATTACATTTGAATTGTGTATAAAAACACCAAGATGATTAGGTATCCAAGTTCGAATTTTTTCAGAATTCGAACAAGACTTGGTTGCTAGCAATTTGGATTTGGGAAGTTTGACTGTACTCCAGGCTGTTGGACCCAGTAGTGCCACATAGTAGAGGTACTGCTGGATAGTTATATGTATATTTATTTTCTTCTCAGGTTGCAGCAGCAGGCCAAAAGATTGAGTCATGCAGTATACAGGATGTTGAAATTTATGCTACCAAGGTGTTTGTTGTCTCGGCTTCAGCACAGCGTCTGCCATTACAGGTAGGTAGAGCTGTCTTTGTTAATTTAAGCCCATGCCCTGCTGTCTAAGATGATATAATGTGATACTACAGTAGTCCAGTAAAGGTCACTGGAAACCTTAACTTTAGAAATAGTTTGTGTAAGAATTATTACACGCTTGGGTTACGGTTGTGCTCTCATTGATGCAAACACCTTGAGGCTGAGTTTCTTGGATGTAAAAGGTCTCTTTTGTTGCATGTAGTTCACCCTTCTTAATAGGTGAGGTAGCTTTTGCATTTTCTTTGGCCAGAATAAGTCCTCTCCTCTCCTTCAGAACAGCATGGGTAGGTTTTATGAATCTACTGTAGTAGGCTTAGATATTTGTTGTGAAAAATTTCGTTGAACCTGTTATATGGTGGTCTGTAGTTATTGTGAAATTCCTTTAGAAACAAGGTATGCAGAATTTAATTTTGACTATTTTTTCAGACAAAAAAAAATGGATCATATCACCTTTCAACTCTGAAAATAAAAATACAGGGGGGCCCCCAAAATTTGCGGGGGTTAGGTTCTCAAAATGGCTGCGATTAGCATTTGCGGACGGAGGGGGGGGGGTACATTTTTACTTGTGTCCAAAGAAATATATATTCCCTTTGTGTTTGCCCTTAGGACAATTATTTCTTTTCCCGTTATTGTATATACAGCTACTCCTCGACTTACGACCTACTCGATTTACGACCACCCGGACATACAACCGCCCCAGTCGTACCAAAATTTTTTCAAATTACGTATTTACGCGTCCCAACGTAAGTGATTGCGCTATGTACTGACAATTTTTTTTTGTAATTCCCTTTAAAATGGCTGGTATGCTTAAAAGTGAGAGTTTTGTGGTGCTGAGAAGAAAAAGAGACACTCATTTTAGATTTTCTTTTTCTATGTATATCTTCGCATTTTCGACTTATGACCTGGATTTGGGTCCCTAACCCCATTCATAAGTCAAGGAGTGGCTGTATGTGTGACTAAACACATAAAAAATATAATAATGGGAAATACTCTCTCAAATAATCAGAAACAAATTTATTAAAAATGTGACAGTCTGCCCTCAAGTCCGTGCTTTATTGATAAAGCAATAAAGCACGAACTTGAGGGTAGACTCACATTTTTAATAAATTTGTTAATGATAATTATTTGTGAGAGGATTTTCCAATTATTATTTGTTTGCATGTGTTTTGTGTGTCTACACACACATATTTACAATACAGGTAAAGGAAATTAGTGTCTAGAATAAATAGCTCCCTGCCCCGACCACAGACATTCTTGGGTACATCCAGGCTCTCATCCGCGAAATAAAAATCCTCTTAACTTGGGGGGGGGGGGGATGTATATTGAATCCTTCAGCAGTTGTCTTGTTTATATCTGAAGCCTTATGATTTAAGCTGTAAAGACCCTTTCATACCGAAAGCTATGCAAGTATGCTATGTGTATGAATTACTTCAATGATTTTAAAGTAGATAACTTACACTAGCACGTGGTGTACATAGCATTGCTGCTGATGTGTGTTATCTAATTTAAACACCATTGCACCAATTCAAAGACACATGGCCCATGTGCAAAGTGTAGCGAACATAACTTGATTATTGAATAGAAAACTTCAAATTAATTCTGAAGAAATAAAGCCTTTATTTATTGAATTTTTTACATAATTTTCTAATAGTTTCGAGGACTGCCCTAAACTTCCTTCAGGACCACTTGCGGCCCTCAGACCATGGTTTGAGCACCCATGCTGTACATTATTCAACCACAAATTATAAAAAAAAAGAGGTATTAAACCCCTACGGTATGTGGTTAATATATAATAAACCTAGATATCTCCCTCTGGTTACCAAAAAGTTAATTTCTGTTTTTTTTTGCGGGAAATGCTAGATAATGATATCTAAAATCATGTGAAATGATTTGAAAGTGGCAACTCAAGTCTCATGTTGGCAGAATCATAGGAATTGTTGTGTAGTGTGTCTGTTGCCATGGGAACCGGCCCAGGTGTTTTAAATCCAACTTTGCCACGATCTCTGCATGACCTGGGAGACATATCACTATGAATTTATTTTATGTCACTTTATTTTGTTATTTCCACCTCTTTTTTTATACTAGAGTTGTGATTATATAATATTGGATAGGTAGGTGAATATAAAATGTAATTCAAACAAATGGAATGTTACTTTGAGAGGCCTCTGCTCTACAGCAAACATGCTGTGGTGACATAATTCTACACTAATTTTACTATTTATTGTACTCAAATACTGTATGTAGATATTATACACTGAGGCAATATTTAGGAGTCGACACATGACATATGCTCTCAGGTAAGGCACAAAATTATACGGTACAGTTTTACCACCAGTACACTGTCATACTGCCACCACCACACCATGTTGTGTTGGTGCCCCTAAAGTAACGAGAAATTATATATACTGTATTTACACTATTTACAAAAATCTTTCCTTTGCTTCAGTACTTTTGAAGGGTGTGGTATTATTGGAAGCATGGAATCAGGCACAGCAACGTCACACTGAGTACACCGATAACAAGTGTCTTTGCATACTTTGGCGCGTATTTCACTCGTACGGTACACATGAAATTTTTCTGGGAATACTACTTTACCCCAGTGGAAGGAATCACTGAAGGGAAGTCTAGAGCAGTCGGTCGCAAAGGTAGTTCACCACCAGCTGTACGATGACCTCCAGGTCTCCGATGAGGTACTGCATTGGTCTCCAAAAGCTGCCTTGCCACATTCAATGAAAACTCATGGAGTGTACGTTTTTATCTGTCTTCATTAGATAAAGAATGTGCGCGTTCAGAAGGGACATGTCCAAAACGTGAAAGAATAGTTTTTTGTGCCATTTCATGGTCTTACTTGCACAATCTATACTGGAGATGATGCTGTCAGACTTGTCAACCAGATGCATGTTGGAGGTGTAGTCTTTGACAGTGTGGCTTGTAGAGCCTCATCCTGGTCTTGGGGTCAACATTGTGGGTGATAAGAGTGATGCATTTGGTGATGGAGTCTGGCATATGGTGTCAGAATTACCAACATCACACTCACTCACTATCCTTGTCATCATGTGGGTAATCAGGGTCATTGACATCATCAGAATCACTCAAACCACTGTCCGTTCCTAATGGCTCCTCAGCATCACAAGGAGCATCCTCATCAAAAATAGTTTATTTCGGCGTCACTGATAGCACGACATCCTTACAGAGTGGGACAGGTGAAGGTACTGGTGTTGCCAAGAAACATGAGGCCTGGACATGTGATTGCCTGTGGGGGTGTATACCAGACAACTCAAAATGTTTGTTTATAGCTCTAAGGCCCATAGAGATTAGCGGGAATTTATAAATTTTCAAGGACGTTGATATACGCCCTAAACCTGGGTGTCCCTTACCTTAGCAGACATTAATCTATGCCCAAAACCACGTCGGGGCTAATAGAGGTACCCGTGAATTTGTATTTTACAAATTAACTCGACTCCACTGTATGGAGAAAAACATAGAGCAAGGAAATAAAAATTTTTTTTTAGTATGATTGGAAGAAAAGATTGTTTTTAAAGTTGTTCATTCACAGATAGAAGATGCTATGCGACCAGAAACAGATGATCCAGAAGGTCTGCAGATCAAGGTTAATCAGGACACTCGACTGGACAACCGTATTTTGGATCTGCGCACACCTACTAATCAAGCAATCTTTAGGCTAGAAGGTGGTGTTTGTCACCTTTTCAGGGAAGCCCTTAGGTCTCGGGGTTTTACTGAAATTATGAGTCCCAAGCTCATCTCTGCTGCTTCAGAAGGTGGAGCAAATGTATTTGGCATGAAGTACTTTGAAAAAGAGGCCTTTCTTGCTCAGAGTCCACAGTTGTATAAACAAATGGCTATTGCAGCTGACTTTGGTAAAGTTTTCACAATTGGTGCAATTTTCCGAGCTGAGAACTCAAATACACATAGGCACCTGACAGAATTTGTTGGGCTTGATTTAGAGATGGCTTTCACCCACCATTACCATGAGGCTATGAATGTTATAGGAAATATGTTCACCGAGATATTTAGAGGGCTTCGTGACAATTATGCAGATGAGATTGCCACAGTAAACAACCAGTTTCCAGCTAAACCTTTTAAGTTCTTAGACCCACCTTTATGTCTTGAGTACAAAGAAGGAGTTGCTATGTTGCGGGAAGCAGGAATAGAGATGGAAGATACTGAAGACCTAAGTACACCTAATGAGAAGCTATTAGGGCGATTGGTTAAGGCTAAGTATGACACTGATTTCTATATATTGGATAAGTTCCCATTGGCTGTAAGACCATTTTATACCATGCCTGATCCTACTGACCCAAAATGGAGCAACTCGTATGACATGTTCATGCGTGGGGAGGAGATATTGTCAGGTGCTCAGCGAATACATGATGCTACTTTCTTGGTGGAGAGAGCCAAGGCCCATGGAATTCCTCTCGACACCATTCAGTCGTACATAGATTCCTTCAAATATGGTTGTCCCCCACATGCTGGTGGAGGTATTGGATTGGAGCGGGTGACTATGCTTTATCTTGGCCTGGATAATATCCGCAAGGCCTCAATGTTCCCAAGAGACCCTAAAAGAATTACACCCTAAATTGGATTTACTTTCCAGAGTAATTTGAATGGTTATCAAATATGCATCTTTTTTAATGGGAAAGAATGTTTATTTTTTGTGTTTTTTGGGGATACTGTAGAATTTCAATATTGTCAGTTCTTGTAGCCCTTACAATAATATATTTTCCTGCTGAGGTGCATGAGATTTTACTGTATTTCTTTAATACATGTGTGTGGCTGAAAGGAGTACTATGTATTGCTCTTAAGGTGAATAGCTTTACCATGTACAGTACAATACTATAAAATACATTGTTTTACCTCTGCAGTAAATAAGATACTGAGTGGACTCATAGGTGTGAGGTTGTATTTTAAAGTGGGGAAAGTATTCTATTGGTGTCATTTATGGCTTAAGCTAAGGTTAAATCTGCCAAAAATCCAGATGATTCTCTGCCATAATTGGAACTTCATTTGTCACAAATTTCCTAAATATTTTATGGAAAATTTATTTATTTTAAAGTATAATTCAAACAGCCTCAGTTGTCCTTTGACTGGAAAGTGTGTGGTTATATATATTGTTCTGTAACCAGTGAGTTATTTGGTGTGATAGGATGTTCAAAGATATAGAGTATTTGTATAGCCGTTACAAATGATGCCTTCAGTAGAGGAGATAACCATAAAGATGAAAAAAAGTAAGGTCATGGCATTAAGTGATTTTTGGTGATGGCTTTCAGCTGTTGGACACTATTGGCCTATGTGAAGAAAGAGTGGTAAACCAGACTTAGGGCTTGTTTTGGAAGGATATTACTATAACAGAACACTTATTTTACATATCTAAGAATGAAAGAGTGATGACAAATGAAGGTTTATTTGTGTGTGTGTTGGTTTGCTCATATATGGTGATTGCATTAAAGAGGAAAGACATTAAAATGTGCTTATTGAGTTCTTTCATACCTAAGGCTTTGGAGGTACCTTTTGGATATTGCAGGAATTGTCAAATAAAAAAATTAATATTCTCAATATTTTCCTTAATGCTAAAAATTTGTATGAAATGTAGAACAATCACAATAATTTTTAGGTAGGTAATTGTTATGGAGATTGGTAAAAAGAAGGCTGCCCTGGGAATCTTAGTTATAGGTATTTAATTTGGAAATATTTTAGCTTCTTGGTAGGTTGAAGTGGGTGTTTTATATTTTGTCTTTATTAGTGAACCCCTTGGATATGAGGGGTTTTTCTGCTGAATAAAATTGTCTGGTGTCAGCTAAATAAATTAAAAGTGGCATCCAGCAGTGAAGGGGTTAATCACTCGGAACATTTATAAGGCAACCCAAAGGATCAACGTTGTGGTCTAAGAATTACCATCACACACAGGATGAGGCAAGAAAGGCATATCCCCCCTTTTCCAGTATCACTTTGGAATACTGTATTTATGAACCAATTGGATTTTATATAATGTACCAGAAGGTTTATGGTTACTTCCTCAAATTGAATATCTCTATCCAATACTATTTACCTGTACTTTGGTTTGGATACAGAAATCCAGAACAGTGATATAACCACTACACCATTAGTGATTGTTATTTATATATACTGTACATTAAAAATTTGTAATTTTCATTGTGGAAGTTTTTAATATTTAAAATTTTTGTACTGCATAGTAATTGCAAAATCTCTCTTCAGTGTTTTGGGGATTGGAAAATATAAGCAATAATTTTAATATAGTGGTTATTTACCCATTTACGATATTAGTTTTGCTAATGAAAGTACCAGACTGTTAGTATACAGCTATTCGTGAATAAAAGTAGGGTACCTTACTTCTCTGTTCTCAGGGATCCCACTGCTATCATGATTAAGATTGTTTGCTTGAATGTTGTCAACTTAAGTTATCTTTGCATCAAACTTATCTTTATAAAATTTATTATTTATTTTTAGTTTTTAAAAATCTCTGATGATTGATTATATCTTTAACAGGTTCTCCCAAGTATCTGTAGACTGCAGTAAAAAAATTAAGGCATTAATGTTAATTTTTAGACAAATTTCTACTTTTCCACAAGAAAAAGCAAACATTAAAAGATCGGCATGTAAAATGGTGAATACAGGTATGTTATGGATGGGGTAGTCAGAATATTGGTAAACACACTATAGATATTATGAGGTGTCCACTTTCAGTACACAAATACAGGCCCATTTTCTTACCCAACAGCTGTTGGCTCTGATTTTTATTTATTTTATTTTTTGTGCAAGTGTCATTGTTAGGGATTTCCATTTAAAATGTTTCTGTCTGCAAAATTTCATCTAATAAAATTTTGAGTGGTTATTCAGTTTTAACTGATAATTGAACCTTTTGTTATTTAACTACTATTCTGTGGTGTCAGGAAAATAAAATTTTAATGCTTTTGAATCGTTTGTTACCATGTGTGAATTTTCTGTAATTGGTCCCAACTTTTAAACTGTCTTTAAATAAACATTTATATATTAGGGACAGTATGGACACTCAAACTTTATTCTAAAAGTTTAAATTACATGTATGATGGCTTTGTATCTTTTAGTCTACATAGCAATTTCTTTCCCAACACAGGTCTTGAAAGATTAGTTCTACAGAATAGACACGAAAAGGATTTTTTTTTTTTGTTGGATGATTTTAGTAAAATAACTACTACTGCAAATATATTATATTAAAAAATACAACTTTCATCCAACAAATACTTTCATGTATTTGCTTTTCAATAATCTTAAAATGAGTTAATAGAAAGCTGATAAGACTGGCAAGGTTGTTGTAGCTCAAACTGGCGAAATTCCAGAGCACATTTATTTCGTTCTTCTATGTAACCCACCTCGTGATACAGACGAGCCTGGAAAACAAAATGGATTTAATTAAATTTATTTTTGTATAAATAATCACAGCTTCGTGTAAGCGGTTCATGTTTCACACTCATGGTCTTGGACACTAGGGGTGCGTCCAATATTTTTTTGCCAAGTTTGTGGTCTTGGACTCGCTAGTAACATTCTTAAGATACAGGTGTATAAATAATAAAACGTATTTAAAAACTATGAATGCATGAAATTTGGATGCAGTACAGGTTGTAGCATGAAGATTCAGGGTAAATGTATCGAACCTCTGATACCCTTACCGGTATGTCTTTGCCAGCAGGATAAGATTGAAAAAAATTAGTCTGAGTGAGAAGGGTAACTATTGTATTGTGCTTGGACAATTAAATCCCACCACACTCCAGCCGCTGAACACCACACTGCGTCCCCTGGATTACGTTTGTGTGAGTGACTATTGTTGACTGTATATTGTGATGATTGCTGGATTATTTCTTAATGCAGTGATTATTGTGATTAAAATTTGTCCCGTTATCACGACTCGTCATGCCTTGTTGTCCGCATAAGTGTTGAAGAGCAGGAAAAAATTGAGTCTACTTTAGCTAACAGTAATAGTGATAGCAATATTTTAGGGGACTAGATAACAGCATTCAATTTGGGGAAAATTTAACATTGGATTAATTTCCATAAACAGTTTATATACTGTACTTTAATAAATGATAATATCTAGTGTGGAAGATAGTATTCCATAGTTATTTCCAGCTGACGGGACTTCAGCTCACCACTTTTTTTTTTTATTCTTGTGAAATAACAATATGCATCTGATATAAATTCTAACAACACCATAAGCTTTCTCAAGATCTGAACTAAACATTTGGTAAATAAAGTCTTAAAAAATTTGCTTATTTTGAAGACAATAATTGACTCCGAATAAACTAGCGAGTAAAGAATATACCTGTACAGTGGTCCCTCGATTAACGAACGGTCCAATTAATGAAATTTCGGTTAACGAATTGGCTACCATAAGGATTTTCAATTCCATTAACGAACAAAACTTCGATTAACGAAAGCCTTCCAAGAAACACGCTTTGTTGTGTGCATCAGCTGATCGGCTAGTCCGCCAATACAGTAATTGGGTCTGTTTACATTTGTTTCCAGTGGAGTAAATATCAAGAAAGTTGTGCTCTTCAATATTTTTGCATTTTTTTATATTAAAATTATTGGTCATTCTAATTTAGTTAACATATTGATAATATATAAATTAACAGGGAAAAGTTTTTGTGTGCCAATCAGCTGATCGAATCATCCACCAACGCTTCTCAGTTTAACTTTGTTTACAGTAGAGTGGACATCCAGTTTGTTGGTCTCTTGAATATTTTTGCACTTTTACATTAAATAATTGGTCATTCTGAAATATAGTTCACATATTGACAATATACAGTGCAGAAATTATTATGAAACATGAAGGCATTAGAACCAATGCACTCTGTAAAGAATATGGCATGTCACCATCGGCTGCCTCTACAATCAGCTGTTTGATATGTAAACAAAGCTGCCGGTAATACGACATACACACCTCAAAGTAAGTTAAAATATAGTATTCTATTGTTTTTTATTTATTATACAGTATACTGTACAGTATAGAACTGTATTTAGTTTATATTTAATGTTTTGTTAATTCTATTACAATATACAGTGGTCCCTCGGTTAACAAACGGTTAGATTAAAAAAATTTCGGTTAACGAATTACCTCCCATAAGGATCTTCAATTCGGTTAACGAACAAAACTTCGATTAACGAAATCCTTACGAACAACAAGTTTTGTTGTGAGCATCAGCTGATGGGCTAGTCTGCCAATTCAGTAATCTGTTCTGTTTACATTCGTTTCCAGTGGAGTAAATATCAAGAAAGTTGTGCTCTTTAATATTTTTTGCATTTTTTATATTAAGATTATTAGTCATTTTAAAATTTAGTTAACATTGATATTATATGCAGTACAGGGAACTAGTTTTTTGTGCACCCTTCAGCCGCTTGACTCAGCCACCAGTTTGGCTTTGTTGACAGTGGAGTGAACATCTATTTTGTTGATTTTTGCATTTTTACATTGAAATTATTGGTCATTCTGAAATTTAGTTAATATATTGATAATATACAGTGCAGTGTTGATTTAAATAAAATAATCTTGAATTGCACCTAGTGAACTTAAAATTTTATTGGTGAAACTACTGCATCAAGCATGGATCCCTTGAAAGGTGATTTCTCCTCCATCCCCACTTCCTTTTCTTCTCCCTTCTCCTCTACCCCCACTTCTAATTCCCATCATCATCACCAACCAGGAACCTTTTACATACACACCTCAAAGTAAGTGTACTTTACTGCATTTTTTTTTACTTTGTATGTACTTTTCGGTGAACTGGAACCAATTACCCAATATCCCATTGAAACAGTGGATTTGGTTAACAGAATTTTTTTGTTAACGAACGACCCTCTGGAATGAATTGTGTTTGTTAACCGAGAGACCTCTGTACAGTACAGTACTTTGTATGTACTTTTTCTGTGAGTTGGAACCAATTACCCAATATCCTATTGAAATAATAGATTCAGTTAACGAACGACTAAGTGGAACCAATTGTGTTCGTTAATCGAGGGACAACTGTACTGATAAAATCTGTTTCTCAGCTACCTTTTATTTTCTAAAATCCATTACAGCCTTATTACTTACCTAAAGATATTTTTTGTTGGTACCATAGGAAAGCTGAGATTCTCATGCCTTTTTTAGAAAATGGGGTTTTATGTAATCAAAATGTAAGTTGATTGAAAATATAATGATTATTTTCCACTTACACTCGTCAAAACATGCATTTTTTTTATTTGTTCATGTGATTCCTATTACAGTATGATTTTTTTATATACAGACACTGTCGAAATACCAGAAATGTCAAAGCACAGTAGGGTAGTTAAAATTATCGAGGTGAGAAAAAAAATGGTCTCAATATCCCCAACCCAGGTAAACGGGGGGGGATTTAGGACCATGAGTGTTAAAAAAATATATATATGCTTTTTAAATAAATACTGTACTTGTCAATCACAAAAAATTCTCAACTAGCATGGAATGACAATTATAACTTACCTTGAAATATAGAGTCTCCCTTACTTTTTGGTAGGCTCTCACTTTCATGAACAGCTTCCGCACCAGCTCAAGGGACACCGCAGTTTCTAAGAGCTTTCCTATTCGATCTTTCCCCTTTGCTTTACTAACCTGAAAATTAGCTTTACATAATTATCTTTAAAGGACTGACTTGAGAGAAACTCCCTGAAGAAAGGGAAAGGATGTTATAATTCTCATCATGCATGTGATTTATTCAAACCGAGAATGTGAGTTTTGGAAGTTTGGCAAATTTCAGGTAAAATTATGTACCCAATTACAGCCGAGTGGATTAGAGGTGCCCCAGAAGTGAATTAGTGACCCTTTGGATGGGAGGTGAGTGCTGTGTTCACTCAGATGCCAGTTAACAGAATAATGCTAATGTACATCACATCTTTCCCTGTACCTTTAAACATAGCTGAATTTTCTATTTGGATGAATTTTTTTTTATGGTTTATTCAATTAAAAAAAAATTAAAAGTTTTGGGTTTAGAGGCTTTAACCATGAACTGCTCAAACTTACCTGAAGCTTAGCTGCTACCAGTCTAGCTCGTGCTTGATCATATACTGAACCACCTGCCAGAATCACACCCAGGCCTCCAGCAACACTCACCTCAGCCTCTTTATGAAGACCTAACTGTAGCTGCAATATACAAATTTATATATTACAAAGATTCAAACATTCTCATAGCAAATAGAATAACCATAAATTTAACTCAAGTTTCAAGAATACAATATAGGTTACCCCTGAGTTGCAACGTCTTGTGTTACAATCATTTGCTTTAACACTGAAGTCATACTTACACCTCATCCCCAAGTTACAATCAGTCACTCCCGGTTTAATGATCACCTCTATGCTACGATGAACCACCTCTGCCCACTAGGCCTCCTGGCTGCACTCTGACGTGCAACTCCCCTGTCACATCTTAAAGTATCAATGCACTAACTCTGGGCCCCAACTGTTGCTATTCCTTGGCCACATTCAAATCACTCTGGTCCACCATTGCTAGTGCCTCTTGCTGTGACTACAGTTGCATTTTATTTATGTTTGGAGAGTCACCTCAATTGTAAAGTGTTTATTTATTACTTTTAAGACATTGTGGTGGTAGATAGTGAGTAATTTTTTAGATAATGTGTGCCTTAATTACAGTACTGTACAGTATTAGCAGATGGCGAATGATTAATGCCAGAGTTCCAGTGCACTTGGTTGCCAGCCAGTGAAGGACTAGATTAGCAATATGTACAAATTCTACGGTATAGGTGTACCCCAATAACTGGAGCATATAGGGACTGAAAAGTAGTTGGTTAGTGAATCAACAGTTATCAAAGCAATTAAATCCATAAGAATGTAACAAATTCAGGGGGTTAGGTCGACTGGTCACCCCCCAAAAACTCCCATCTACCCTCGATATATTTTTGTCGTGCACACTGTCAAGCAAGAAAATAAAACGGACATATAAAGCAAGCATAAAAAGCATTAAATGATGAATGTAAGGCATAAATTGACTTGTTATTTACCTGAGTTGAGGATGGTAGAGACAGTCTAGGGTGGCAAGTCCAAGTCTCTACCAATCTTTGCTAGTCCATCACAACTCTTATTATGCCTTATCACATGACATCAAGCTGTCCCCAAGAGGGGCAGCACAAGAGGAACTATCGCTTGGGCGTTTAGGCATGATTACTTAAAACACGAAGTCGGGAAAAAAAATCAAGTCTCTACCAGTCTTTGCTGGTCTATCACCACTTATCACGCCTTACCACATCAAGCTGCCTCTCAGCACAAGAGGGGTTATCACTAGAGCATTTAGGCATGATTGTGTAACACACAAAGTCAGAAAAAATGCGAAGTCGAAGACACATGGTAAGTGTAAACAAATGCAGAGGCAGGAAGGAGTCAGAGGCAGCGCACAGAGCCCTTTTGTGGCAAGAATTCGCACCACGTCACTGCCCGCCAAATTCAAAACAGCTCTGCCGTTAGTCAAGCTTGAATGACTGGCTATACTCCACACTGAAATTAATGCCCCATCAACTCATGGAATTTTATTTCTGATCAGTTAAGAGTCCCATTCATTATCAATTTTATGTATTTCTCTCTTTCCAGCTCCTTTTCATATGCTTAGGCTACTTCTTAAAGAATGTGTGTTTACTGTGTCCTTTCTTTTCATAGCAAGAAAAAGATAAATATGGGTATGCAGAGGTTTTGGGTTGTAATTCACTAATTTATAAAAGGAATGTGTCACTCACGTTGAGGCCTCCAAAATTATTTTTAACACGTACCCTTCCAATGCACGGGCTAGTTGTGACCTTCTTTCATGAAAGTGACACACTGTATCTAATTTTTTCTTTGCATATATATTTTTTGGCATCCAGTTGATTTTTCTTATAAAACCAACTACAGGGGGTCCCTGGGTTACTAAAGGTTTCCGTTCCTAAGGACGTTCATAAGTCAGATTTGTACGTAAGTCGGAACACATGCTATATGCATACCGTACTTTCAAAACAATGTTTAAAATCCCACTATATCTTAGTCTAAGTCCTTATATACATCTAAAATCACTTCATATAAGACAAAAGTAGAAATAGAATACCAAATACAGTAAATGAAAGTAAAAAATAAGTCACCGGGTAAATAAAATACTGTAAATTTCAAGTTAAACCCATTCGTATTGGCAGGCGTTCGTAAGTCTGGGACCACCTGTATATTATGTGTAAATTTGATTGCTCTTTCACATCTTGTAGCTTAATCATTTTCCTGTTTGATATTAGTGTTATTTATATACTACCACTTTCTGGTAAATAAAAAAATTCTTACCTGAACATTAGCTAAATGCAGGTGTGTAAGTGCTGCCAAATAAGTCAGATGATGCTCATGTGCAGTGGTGATACCCTCCACTAATAAAGGTACAGCAACAGCATTCCCTCCACCAGCAACTGCAGCACAACTCTCTACTAGCAGTAGTCTCACCCGCAGCTCTCCAACAACTTCTGGGTCTTTCTGTAATTCACCAAGAAGTTCCCATGCCTCTGTCAGCTCACCTTTGGCCACCAACAGTTCACACTGTCTGTAAATGAACAATAGTATAACCAGCAATTTGAAATTTTTGCAGTATCACATACATACTACCCACAGAACAGATACAGCACAATCAAATGATACAGTACTGTATATTCTTTATAAGATTTTAGATGAAAAGTTTCTGAAGGCATAAACAGGATACACGAAAAGTAAAAAGAGACTTGAAATTTAATGATAAAGTACTAAAATATATGCTTCATGATATGTATATAGGAAGTCCTCGCTTAATGTCGGGGTTATGCTCTTGAAAATGCGACGTTATACGAAACAATGTTAAGCGGATCAATTTTCCCCATAAGAAATAGATAAAATACGGGAGTTACGTTCCCCAGCCTCCCTTTGCCCCATGAAATACATTACATATACAGAAAATCATTGCCATTTCTATAAAAAATAGTGCATGCATATACAACTACTAAGTTTGTATTGGTACTCATCGATGGGCGGAGGTGGTAGAGCGAGTGTGTGGTGGGTAGTGGAGCGATGGAGGAGGATGGCAGGAGTGGAGGAGGAGGGTGGTGAGTCACTGAGACACTGCAGCTGCCTCCTCCTCCTGTTCTGACTGGGGTTCCTCCGCCTCTATTTGCTCCTCCTCCATTGAAGTTTGCTACTCCTCCGTTGTTGTTTGCTCCTCCTCGGCTGCTGGATGCTGTGAAGAAGCTGCTTCTGCCGTCCTACGACGAAAAAATGAATCCAGTGTTGACTGCTTGGTGCTACTCTTCTTCTTCTCCTTATACATATCAGTGTAACAACCAAGACTGTCATCAATGCTGCGTGGAACCTTTGAGCTACGTTCTCTGTTTGGGTTGTCATCTGTAAGGATTTGCATTGCTTGCTGGAACATGTTGAACGCTTCTGCCATCCTCTTGGAAGTTAGCGTTCGTTCAGGTTCTTCTTCGTCGTCTTCAACGGGACTTTGTTCTGTTAACAGTTGCAGTTCTTCGTTGGCGAGCTCTTCTGTATGGGATGCCAGGACGTCCTCAATATCCTCTGATTCCAGCTCATCAAAGCCTGCCTATCTAGCCAAGCTGAGGATATACCTATTCACAGGTGGGACTAAGTCTGTGAATCCAGTAAACTGTTGACACACTGGGGCCACAATTTATGCCATACACCATTCAGGCAACTTTCTGAAACTTCTTCCCATGCCTTGCCAATGTTGTCAATTGCATGAAGAATGTTGAAGTTATGCCAATATTCTTGGATTGTAGGTTTATTTTCTCCGTCTGTAGCCTTGAGCAGCTGGGCCATGGTACGGCGTAAATAATACGCTTTGAATGAGGCGATGATGCCTTGGTCCATAGGCTGTATCAGGGCTGTTGTGTTAGGAGGCAGGAATACAACTTTTACACTGTTATGCAAGTCGTCGAGATTGGGAGGATGAGCTGGAGCATTGTCAACGATCAGAAGAATTTTGAAGTCAAAGTTCTCCTTGGCAAAGTATTCCTTCATTGCAGGGACGGTGTACACGTTCAACCACTGGCTAAATATGGCGCTGGTTATCCATGCCTTCTTATTTGCCTTGTAGATCTCTGGAAGGTGATCCTTAGAGTAACCTTTCAGGGCCCGTGGGTTGGCAGCACGAGAAATCAGAATAGGCTTCAGCTTGAAGTCGCCGGCAGCATTCGCGCCAAGCAGCAGCGTCAAACGGTCTTTTGCCGCTTTAAAACCTGGTGCTCTTTTCTCCTCCTTGGAGATATAGGTCCTCTCAGGCATCCTCTTCCAAAAGAGACCAGTCTCATCCACATTGAAGATGGATAATCTGCTTGAATTCAGGCGGGAATATCTCGGCAGCAACCGTATCTGAACTAGCAGTTTCACCAGTCATCTTTAGGTTGTGGAAGTTATAACGACGCTTAAATTGTTGAAGCCATCCTCGGCTGGCCGTAAAGGTCTCTTCCTTCGATCCTTCACCCTCCGTTTCCTTTATGTTGTCAAACAAGGACCTGACCTTATGCTGGATAACCATAAAGTTCACTGGCACATTGCATTGATTCTTGCCTTCCATCCACAAAGCCAGCATCTTTTCCACTTTTTCTATCACACTACTTCTAGTAAGAGTTGTTTTAGTTGCACTGAGAGTAGTACCACTTCCAGCACTAACTTTAATCTTGTCAGCGTTGGTCCGGATAGTACGCACCGTTGTGGGGGTTCGACCTAGCACAGTGGCTATGTCCACAGCACGTTCCCCTTTTAAAATCGGGTTAATACATCCATTTTCGTAGCAAGGGTAATGGTCTTACGTTGCCTCTTCACTACACTAGCATCAATAGCACTTGATGGGCACATGGAAGCCATTTTGAATGGTTAGAGTACAGTTTTAGAGCAAAAGTACAGCGAGTTCTGCTATAACGCGTGTTTTGACAACGCGAATTGGCTCTAACGCGATTTATGAATAGAGGAACGATATTTGTATAACGCGAACGCTTGTTTGCTGTAACGCGATTTTTGCTTACCATTTCTCCAATTTAGTGGTATTAACTGTGAATATGGTAAAGAAGAATATCTCCAAGAAGCGTTCTGGTGATTGCATTCCCAGTCATGATCGTAAAAAAAAGGCTATAACCCTTGAAGAAAAGCTTGATGTTATCAACCTCAAAATCACCCTTCTCCCCCATCAAGTTATATTCATATTTTTTCAAGGTAAAGTGTTACATTTACTGTATGATTTCATTATTAGATATGAATGTAACATTTATTTAGACTGTGCTATCCTTTGTGTTAGGCTAACTACTAAATTTTTTTCGATTTCGAGTAGTAATCTGCACCTAACCCTATTTTCTCCATAAGCCCTGTTATTTCTATTACGCGAATTTCTATAACACGATGTTTTACAAGAACACAACTATCGCGTTATAGCAGAACTGACTGTACTTACGCACACATGAATGATGTGAAATCACAACAGACTGGCTTGGTGTCGCTTGGGGACGCTGTGACATTACACGAGTGAGGGTAGTGCACCGGGCCAAGAGAGCATAGCGCGGCCAGATGAGAGGGGGCGATGTGCCGTAAAAAGTAGTCCATGACAACGCAAAACGACGTTGTACTGCATCACCTGGATGTTAAACGAATTTTTGGTCTCTAAAGTTTAGCGACGTAGTACCGAAACAACGTTAAGCGGGACGACGTTACGCGAGGACTTACTGTACTAGTAGAACACAAAAAAAGACAAATTAATTATTTCAATACAGGAAATCCTCCCATAACGACGGTTCTACTAACGACGATTCATATTTAAGACCCTGGTTAATTTAGGATGCAATTCAATTTACATCATTATTTTCTTTGTATTTACGACGAAAATATTATAAAAAATAAAGTAAAATTAAATTTTCATATAAATAATAACTAAATCCCAATACCTATGTATTATACAAATAAAACAAAAAACATGCTTTGTGCACGGAGGCTGCCGGGCTTGTGAGGGTGATGCCAGCCTCACTTGTATAAACAGTCGCAGCTGGTGGGCCCTTTGTTTTCTTGCATCTCAACAGGAAAAGGAGAAAAAAATTCTCAGGTTTGTTACGTCCTTATTCAACATGAGCAAGAGAGCAAGATATGATAGTGCTGGTTCAAAAGCTAAAAGAAAGTGTATTAGCTTAACCGAGAAACTAGATGTGTTAAAACGATATGAAAAAGGCGAGAGGTCTGTGGATATTATATGGAGCAAGCAATGAACATATTATTATTTTCTGAAGTGGATCCATTAACAGAAGGAAGCATTAAAATTAACAGGGACGTGAAAAACACATAACCTCTACATAAAGATGTATAATGAGTAAAGAAAGCGGCTGTAAAAGGTTCTTTCGACAGCTTTATTATTCAAAGGCCTAAACCACCAACTTCAGCTACACCATCAAATTCAGCATCATAAGCAGCTTCAGCAGCAACTTCAGGTTCAGTAACAGTTTCAGCAACAGCTATGATATCTTTATGGAAAGCTTCAGCTTAATTGAACCTGATTGACGAAATCATATGAGTAAAAACTAGCACAATATTCATTGGCTGTCCTTATGTTTTAGACTTTACCACCATTTGTGAGTAGAATTTTTGTTTTACATTAGTAAGTATTATTTAAAACATATATGAACAGTAATAAGTGTTGGTTTCATATTCTTATGTAGAGAAATAACGATGTTTTCACATAAACGCACTTACATACGATGGCGTTCCCAATCTATTCGTTTTTGGTTTTTTTACCATTAATGGTTAGCTACTTCAATTGTTCCATTTATTAACATTAAATAACATTACTTAATATATACATACAGTATTAATTTTTTTAATTAATTTTACTAAAGCAACAACCAGGGTCTTATTTCTTCAGTTTCTTATGTAAAAGTAGAACCATCATCATTCGTCACAGGTGTTGTAAACATGAACAAAAACAATGCCGTCTCGTCTTGTGTGTTTTAATATTCTACGTACTGTATTATTAATGAATTGCATTGTTCATTTTGCATATATAAACATTAATTCAATCAAATACATATTCAGTAATAAACAATAATGAATCTTTTGTACATATTCTTAATAAGATAAAAGATGCGGTTTCCTTGAGGACCGTCACGGGTGTTGTAAACATGAACGAAAACAATGCCGTCTCGTTGCCTCGTGCGTTTTAATATTCTACGTGTTATTAATGAATTGTATTTGTTCATTTCGCATATATAAACATAAATTCAATCAAATAAATATTCAGTAATAAACAATAATGAATCTTTTGTACATATTCTTAAGATAAATGACGCGTTTTCCTTGAGGGGCAAGTATACATTGCCGTTCCACTATCACCCTCTTTTTTTCTTTAACATCAATGGTTACTTTTACTGTACAATAAATAACATTAATTAATACACACATTTTTTTTACATTAATTTTACTATAGCAACAACCCGGGTCTTATTTTCTTGTTTCAGATGGATAACTGACATTATGGGTGTTAACACAACAACAACAACAATAGCGTCCCATCTCCTCTTGTGTGATCTTATTATTATTGACTTATATTGTGTAAGGTGCAATCATAAACACTATTTAAAGAATATACTCCAGTTTGCATTTTTCATTAATTGTATTGTTTTGGGGAAAAAGAGGGTAAAAAGCCACACAAAAGTTATGAAAAGGTCACACTGGGGAACGCATCTCATTATTATTGCTTTATTTTAATGGTAATTAATGATTCATGATACGATGATTCACCATACACTGCAATATTGGAGGACACATTACAGTCGTTATTCGAGGCTTTACTGTATATCTATAAAGCTGTGAACAAACTTGGGGAAACTACATTGTCTAAAAGGGAAGAAAACAATTATTAAATGATGTACTGTTAAGTAAACTTGAAAATCTAATAATTTAATCTGAGGATGCCTATCAATAAGCCTACAAATATTATTCATCTATACTATATATTTTCTGTTTAAGCATGCTAATAAACATGGGTGGGACAGATAAATGGCCAAGGGTAAATCAACATGTTTCCCTGCCTATGTAGTGAGGGTATGAGGAATGTGGGCTACACACATTACTGGCTATGTATGCCAAATGGAAATAGCCTATGAGATGTGAATCTCATATCTCTATGGCTAGTAAGCTGGGAAAATACCGCTTCTAACTTGTGATTACGTTTCCTTCGAGGTCCCAGTTAGTAAGCCTCAACTGCCTGGCTCACTCACAGTACAATGTATTGGAAAGTATACTCAGCATAAAAGTAATCAACCTCAATTTAGCTTCTGTAGGGTGGGATGTTGCCATGTTGGTAATAACAATTTGTGCCTCTGTCCATCGCCCCTGGTGAAGCAAGTCCGTAAGTGTAATGTGAGCATGAGCAAACATCCAGGTGTGAGAATGTTGTCCATGAGCAGGGAACCTTTCTTGAGCATGTTGTAATACTTCACCTGCTAACTGGTATTCACCCTGAAAGATGAAGTGATCATGACAATATGACAGTGACATTACAATCCATGTTTACATATTTATGGTAGGCCATACAATAAAGTGCCACTTAACGAGTGATATGCAATTAATATGACCCATTTACCCATAGGATCCCATGTTAAGGCTAAGATACATTCCACCCAAAAAATATATAACCCAAAACTCCTGTATATATGTATACCAGAAAGCTTTAATTTTAATATTTGACAGTATAAAATAACAAGATTCCATGTAAAAGTTAGAGGCATTTTTCATTGATGTTTTATCATGTCTTGGAGCCACATTTTCCCATTGGAATGTATCTCCAGTTATACAGTAGTTGTCTCTGGTTAAATAGGATTCTTAAATGTAATTTTGAGATATGTAAAACCTTTCAGGGCCACATTTACTTAGTAAAAATGAGAAAAACCCTTAATTATGGTCCAAGAACCACGAAGACCATCCATCCCCTACTTACCATATAACAGCCGTTATATAACACCAATTACTGTATACACGTAACCTTTAAGTACTGTACATAACTTGTCTTTTAAAGTGTACTGCCACTATGCTCTAAGGTCATAATTTGACTTTAATCCTGTTGGTCCTCAGAGTATTATTCATCTATCTTTTCTGCGTTTTGAAAAATACTCAAAGTTCCTCTGTGACACACTTCATGATCATCGTCATTTTGAACTCATAATACGTAATAAAATATTATTTACCAAATTTGCAAGTCCCATGGCTATATTGCATATGGCAGCACATGTAGGCTGAGCAGAGTAGAATGTTGTTGGATTTGTAGGATGGTGAGTGTTTAGGTGCAGGAGCAACTGTGAAGCTAAGGAGGTCATGGTGGACACCCCCCAATTGGCCCACAGTGCTGCTCGTAATGCCCAAGCTCCATGTTGCAGGGACACTAAGCTGTGCTGACAATTTAGTGCCTCAGCTCTCACTATGCTCTGTAACAAATTTCACACATTAAATATTTTCATTTAATATATAGTTAGAGTCAAAAGTCTTGAACACTTGACAGTATTTGAAATGTAAGTACCCGGAGATCTTAGGTATTAAGGAGAGTTTTATCCCATTTTGTGGTTCAGGCATAATATGTGATGACAAGTAGTGTTATTAGTACTGTATATCCTAATCATATATGTATAACTCAGAAGTAGATTTTTTGTATAATTTGAATTGTAAGGAGTTTTACTGTATTTATATGGTTGAATTTTCCACAATGCTCAAATATCTAAAAAAATCCTCTTATTCTTTCAAATTGAGGGTGCAGGTTAATTTGTCAAACATTTAGGACTTGTTAAAACTTGAATTACACATTTGTAGAGGATCACTGCAGTGTACCATGCAAGGCAGCTGATCAGATGCAGCACTTGCCTCCTGCTCTTAGGGTCACTGGTTTGCACCTTGGGTACTTCATCCAGATATCTCCTTGTGTACTAGAAAAGGCTAAATCTACAGTTTGCTGTGCAGTGTATCAGCACTTTTTCTAAAAACTATAACAAAGATATCCATCTATGGAATATAATTTGCAGTATACAGTGGTCCCTCGGTTAACAAACACAATTCGTTCCACAGAGTCGTTCGTTAACTGAAAATTTTGTTAACCGAATCTATTATTTCAATGGGATATTGGGTAATTGGTTCCAACTCACAGAAAAAGTACATACAAAGTACTGTATTGTATACCAGTAATAGAATTATCAAAACATTAAATATAAACTAAATACAGTACTGTACTGTACAGTATACTGTACAATAATAAATAAAAAACAATAGAATACTGTATTTTAACTTACTTTGAGGTGTGTATGTCATATTACCGGCAGCTTTGTTTACATATCAAACAGCTGATTGTAGAGGCAGTCGAGGATGACATGCCATATTCTTTACAGAGTGCATTGGTTCTAATGCCTTCATGTTTCATAATAATTTATGCACTGTATGCAGAGTATTATCAATATGTTAACTAAATTTCAGAATGACCAATAATTTTAATGTAAAAATGCAAAAATATTCAAGAGACCAACAAAATCAATGTTCACTCCACTGTAAACAAAGTTAAACTGAGAAGCGTTGTTGGGTTATTCAATCAGCTGATGGGCGCACAAAAACTGTTCCCTGTACAGGTAGTTCTGCTATAACGCGATAATTGTGTTCTTGTAAAATATCGTGTTATAGAAAATCGCGTAATAGAAATAACAGGGCTTATGGAGAAAATAGGGTTAGGTGCAGATTACTCGAAATCGAAAAAATTTAGTAGTTAGCCTAACACAAAGGATAGCACAGTCTAAATAAATGTTACATTCATATCTAATAATGAAATCATACAGTAAATGTAACACTTTACCTTGAAAAAATATGAATGTAACTTGATGGGGGAGAAGGGTGATTTTGAGGTTGATAACATCGAGCTTCTCTTCAAGTGTTATATCCTTTCTTTTACGATCATCACCGGGAATTCTATCACCAGAACGCTTCTTGGAGATATTCTTCTTTACCATATTCACAATTAATACCACAAAATTGGAGAAATAGTTAGCAAAAATCGCGTTATAGCAAACAAGCGTTCGCGTTATACAAATATCGTTCCTAATTCATAAATCGCGTTATCAAAACACGCGTTATAGCAGAACTCACTGTACTGTCTATATTATCAATATGTTCACTAAATTTCAGAATGACCAATAATTTTAATATAAAAAATGCAGAAATATTCAAGTGACCAACTTTCTTGATATTTATTTCACTGAAAACAAATGTAAACATAGAACCAATTACTGTATTGGCGGAGTAGCCGATCAGCTGATGCACACAACAAAACATGTTTGTCATAAGGCTTTTGTTAACCAAAGTTTTGTTCGTTAATCAAACTGAAAATCCTCATGGGAGCTAATTCGTTAACCGAAAGGTATGACATCATTATGAAAATCCTCAAACCATACATTACAGAACACCTAAAGTAATATTTAATTATACTTATACAGCTATATAAAAAATAAAAAAGGTAAAGCTAACCTGTAAAAGATATGCAGGTGTTGCTCGAGTGTGAGCAAGTTGTGCTGCATGGTTGAGGCGACCCAAGGAACGAAGGTAACTTAGTGATAGCTCACAGCTTTTAACCATTGATCTTCTCATCAACTGAGCCTGAAACAATTTTTATTGTTTTTTTTTTTGTTTTTTTTTACAGGGATTAACCTACCTGGGCACAGGTCACTGACTCACATCGGGGCATGGGGGGAGAAAATGTAATAATAATAATAATAATAATAATAATAATAATAATAATAATAATAATAATAATAATAATAATAAAATAATAATATCAATAATAATAATCATAATATATAAAATTTATAAAAAAAATAATGATAACACTAATAATAATAATAATAAAGAACCATCAATAAATACAAAGATCAAAAGTGAGAAACCTACTACTGTACCTGCAACATACAATAAAAAATGTAAGTCTAATATCCTAGACCCCAAAATGGTTTGCACCATAACAGGATCCACCTAGCAGAAATGTAATGTTTTCTGAAACATAAGGAAGTGACTAATCAAGGACTTGGGCAAAAAGAATGAGTGACTTGAGTCAAAATATAACAGTAAAATTAGGAAAAAATTTAGTACCACTACTGGACAGAAAATAATACATCTTTCATTTTATCTTAAAACAAGGATTCATATACTACTGTACAAACTGTACACACTTACCTTATGAGTAGGAGATAAGGTGTACAGCCACGCTAAAGCATGTTGCAAGCAAACATGATCGCTACTCTCCTGTGCTAGACGGATTGCCTCCTTGAGTACAGCTAGACCAGCTTTCCTAAAGGGAAAATTTATTAATTTCTTTAATATTCTTGGAAAACCTCAAAGCTTTATGTATGGGAGTGGGTCCCAAACTGTTAAAGCAGTGATTTAAGATCCAGTCCCACCACCTTAAACACTTTCATGAAAAAATCAGATAGTAAAATAATACTGTATCTATATAAATTTTTCATTTTATGCAAGTTGGCTACTATATCCACAAGTTACAAATTGTTAAAATATAATACTTAAGTCATAGACATAAAAATATACCGTAATGATTTATCATTTTCTTTCTATACTGTATATCATTAATGATTTTCAGAGGCAATATTTCATTTATCTTTATTAATTGGTTCATTTACTTTCTCTTGCATTGATCAGTCCTATATCAAAATTTCCTACATCCCACTCAGTTTACTCAGTTCTACAGTACCCACACAGCATGCAGTCTATAAAAGTAACTTATCATTCCAGTACATAGCTGGACTATTTTATTTCTAAAAGAAATGGATTCCAAAGATACGGGTTGTTGCCAATCAAGATAAAATGATCACTGGGTTATGATGGCTCCCCCTCAATGATATCTCCACTCCTGCCAAATTAAAACAAGAAACCTGATTTCATCCCATCCTTGCCACCTCTGTTTCTTTACCAAAGAAGGACAGAAGGAATCTGGACCCTTTACACATTTATGATAAGAGTCTAGGCTGAGGTGAAAGATCCTGTAATCAGAAGCTAAAAGAGACCTGGAATGTGATGCTTAAATATTGCTCACTTTCTATTTTGGCAGTTGAAGTTATTTAGGTCAAAACCTCTGACCCTAAATGATACTAGAAATTTATACTAAGATACAGTTCAACTCATTGTAATTTTGGACCAACTATACTGGCCATGGGTCTAGGAACTGCTTCACTCCCGAGAAGCTGCAATCAGTACTTTTAAGACATGTAATATTGCCTCCAGCACTATAAACAGAAGAGGGCTCATATAAAACACTAAGCAATTGTTTATGTACAGTGGTCCCTCGGTTAACAAACGGTTCGATTAACGAAATTTCAGTTAACGAATTACCTCCCATAAGGATCTTCAATTCGCTTAACGAAATCCTTACGGAAAACAAGTTTTGTTGTGAGGATCAGCTGATGGGCTAGTCTGCCAATTCAGTAATCTGTTCTATGTTTACATTCGTTTCCAGTGGAGTAAATATCAAGAAAGTTGTGCTCTTTAATATTTTTGCATTTTTTATATTTATTAGTCATCTTAAACATTTAGTTAATATATTGATAATATATGCAGTACAGGGAACTAGTTTTTTGTGCGCCCATCAGCTGCTTGACTCAGCCACCAGGCATCGGTTTGGCTTTGTTGACAGTGGAGTGAACAACAATTTTGTTGGTGTCTTGAATATTTTTGCATTTTTACATTGAAATTATTGGTCATTCTGAAATTTAGTTAACATATTGATAATATACAGTGCAGTGTTGATTTAAATAAAATACTCTTGAATTACACCTAGTGAACTTAAAATTTTATTGGTGAAACTACTGCATCAAGCATGGATCCCTTGAAAGGTGATTTCTCCTCCATCCCCACTTCCTTTTCTTCTCCCTTCTCCTCCACCCCCACTTCTAATTCCCATCATCATCACCAACCAGGAACCTTCTTCATACACACCTCAAAGTAAGTGTACTTTACTGCATTTTTTTTTTACTTTGTATGTACTTTTCTGTGAGCTGGAACCAATTACCCAATATCCCATTGAAACAATGGATTCGGTTAACGAACGAATCTGTGGAACGAATTGTGTTCGTTAACCGAGGGACCACTGTACTTGTAAAGGTTCTGCAATTAAAAATTTGGTGTGAAAGGAGGAAGCAGTTTGTTTTTCACGGGAAAAGTGATAAATTTTTCTCAAGATTGTAGGAGCTGCCTTAAATATTCCCCAGTGCATTTGAGTATCCATCTCTTTATCTTCATTACGTGGAACATTACCTTTTAAACAAACAAACTGTCAATTCTTGGCAAGAGGCCTCTACATAAAGTAATGCACTCAGATCAAGTGGATGATGTGCATACACAAGAAAGGGCAATGATTATGGCAAAAAAACAGGAGGAAAAAGGAGAAGGCATACTGTATACTTTGTACATACTTATGGCCAAATTGTGCATGAAGAGCAGCAAGATTTAATGCAGCATATCTAAACCCTCTGCCTTGGTCTTCCATTCTGCCTGAGTCCCGTTGCATTAGGTGACCATCGTAAGTGCGTAGGAGGCTGTGTACCGCTCCAGAAAATTCCTTTACACGAACACAGTTCAGGTAACTGAGGTAGTGCTGAAAACTTAATTCCATTAAACATATGAAGATGCTCACTTTTAATGCTATTTGTAAAATTTTTTAAAGAAAATTAAGCTTTATCTTATTTCTCTTCATCTTTTAAAGGCTGTCTTACACATACCCTAGAAGCAGGCTAGACATATATCATTACGTAAAATGAGAAGCAAGTAAGTTGTACTGTATTAGCGAGCTTAATCATACTAACTAAAAGTTACTTAAGTCATTCTGTTTTAATATGCTTATCTTTGATCAACAACAGAGCTGGGAGAAGGCTTCAAGTTAGGAGCAGAATTCAGCCTCTGTATGAAACACAAAACTTGTATCTGAACTCACAGCTTCAGCAAGGTCTGGATTCTGTCGCACCAACTGCCTGATCTTTTCTTGCAAATCTGGAGGAGACAATGCTGCTGTCTCACTGAACTGTAGTAATGAAGTTTGTTGACTGATGAAAAGTTCTGCCTGCTGTCGAGTACTGTGTCCTGCTTGTGAACTTGTAGGCTCCATATCCCTGTCAAAAAGGATCTTATATTTTAAGTTGTCACAAAATACTGCACGACTGCATTTTATAAACAAATCACTCCTTGTAATTCTAAGCATAGAATAAATTATATGAACATATTACATTCTCAAATCTGAAATAGATTTCAAATTCACATGAATTAAGACTGGGGTAATTGAGGATAAAACATTGAAAGTAAAGCTAATTTAATTCACTATTTCTATTTACACTAAATAATTTTATTATCAACTTATCATTTTCACAATTGGTCCCAAACCTAACCCTGTAATTATAACTGCCGTAATGCTAAACAAAAGCCACCAAAGTTTTAACTAAATATACATGGAGGTGACCTCTTGCTCTGCACAGGTGTTTGTAACTGGGATTGATTCAGTGATAAAAGTTGGTTACTCAACCAAATAAAGGTCAAAGTGCACAGCAAGATTCTTCACCATTCAGCAGCAGCTGACACCTTCCACCTATTTTTAATGGGCTATAGTTGCAACACCAAGGTCTTGGATTACAGTACTCACTCTGTTAGTTCCAGCCACCATGGTTAAGGACCTGGGTTTTCAACCTGTGCACTATGGCTAGTATTATGTGAGGTTGCTTGAGCTAGTAATCAGGTTATAAAGTGTAGCCTGCTGGAGAAAATGCACCGTCTGAAAAACACAATACTGTAGGTGTTATTGTAATATAATTGAACTAACCTTGGATGAGTCTGGGGAAGTAACAACAGGGGAGGCTGAACACTTGACTCTCCTACATCTGAGGAGTTGATGGCCATAACTTCAGCACTGCACAAGGTGAGATCAGTCCCGTTATCATCTTCCCTAGTTTCTTCCATCATATCCTCCATTTTGGCATCAGAGTCAGTGTCATCAGCAATGTTAGATTCTTCTGCAGTCATCTATAATATGAAATTTAAGTTTATGAAATAGTGTTGACACTCAATAGAATCTGTACCAGAGTATACGGATTTTAAAAAGTCGAACACTCAGAAAAACTTAGGATATATTTCCCAACACTAGAGCAGTGATTTTCAACCTTTTTCATCTCACGGCACAGTGAGCCAGGCACTAAAATGGTCAAGGCACACCATCAGTATTTAAGGATAGATTTGATCGGCGGATCTACTCAACGGAATTAAGGAGAGAAATTAAAACTGCCATTTGGGCTTTTAATGAACAACACATTTGTTTATTTATTGCATCATTGAAAAAAAAAAGGAGTTTAATGCGCTCCATTAAAGTACCAGTAATGTCAAAACGTATCCAAATGCTATTTAAACTCCCGCGGCACACCTATGGATGCTTTGCGGCACATTGGTTGAAAATCGCTGCACTAGAGGTTTAAAAATAAAAAGTAAATCAAAGTCAAGGACTGATCCAGGAAACTTCCATTTCAAAAACAGAATCTGGACATGGGAGACCTAAGTATCTATGATATTTTCTTGAACAATGGTGATGTATTAAGACCACCCCCTTATTTATGATCAAATAATTTGCATGAACGATGGTCATCGTCCCACCAACGCAGAATATGGAACGCATTTCTCACTGCACTTGTCAGCTGTGGTCTACCTGCACGCCGCCACACGGTGCATTACAGTCCCGAGCTCTGTTCCACGGTGATGGCACATGCCTGTGATCGTGTAGCTCAATGATTATTAGTCAGTACAGTATTGGTGTTGTTACTTATCATTAGTTTGTTTTTTTATTTTTATTTTTATTTTTTATTTTTGTATTTATTTATTTATTTATTTTACCCTACAATGAGAGGATATCAGTAACATTCACATTGTACTCTGTTTTTGTAACTATGAAGTGATTTCTGCTGTTTTTTGTGACTGTTAGGTGGTTTGCCTCAGTTGTAGTGAACATGATGTAAGCAGTGTCGGCCGCTATTATTGTTTTTATGTTATCATCGTTTGCTCTGTTTTTGTAACGTGTGGGCCGCTATTATTGTTTTTATGTTATCTTTCACTCTGTTCTTGTGAAAAGTGCTTTTGTTGTTTTTGAGACTGTGAAGTGAGCAGTGTAACTATGAAAATGTCAGGGAAGGCCAAGGCACCCAGGAAAACCATGTCTTTGGAGGTGAAACTTGACATCGTGAAGCTGTGCGGGAGTCAGTGTGACTCACCACTCCATCTTTAAGAGTCCCCTTAGCCACAAAGGGGGCATGTAATGACGACCAGGCTTATTCTTAATGATGTGGCGAGTGTTATTTAATTGTTTTATGTCTATTATTATTGTAGGAATTTTATTTTTGGTGAAACATGTGGGTGTTGGACTGGCTGGGAATGTATCTCATTAAACCCCACGTTATAATGATCCCGATTTACAATATTTTGACCTGCGATAGGGTTTTCAAGAACGTAACTTTATAGTAAATGGGGAAATAGTAAGGTAAGTCCTTGCTTAACGTCGTGGTTCCGTTCCTGAAAACAACAACGTTAACGGAATAAATTTTCCCCATAAGAAATAGATAAAATACGGGAGTTATGTTCCCCAGCCTCCCTTTGCCCTATAAAATACATTACATATACATAAATTCAATGTAATTTTTAAAGAAAATGGTGTATATTATACATCCAAAAAGATAAATAAACTAAATCATTTTGTATTGTACTCACTGATGGGCGGGGGTGGAGCGAGTGTGTGGTGGCTAGTGGAGAGGAGGAGGGTGGGAGGAGGAGGGTGGGAGAGGAGGAGGGCGGGAGAGGAGGGTGGCGAGTCACTGATACCCGGAGGGTGGCTCCTCCTCCCGCTCTGACTGGGTGAGAGAGGGTGATATGTCGTACAGAGTAGTCTGTGATGACGTAATACCAAATCGACGGGACGTTGTCCGAATCATGGGTATCTAAAGAGTAGCGACGCTATTCGTTATAGCGTCGGACTTGAACCATCAACAATAAATACTGACACACATACTGTAAGCAATAATTACAGATAATAAGTATTGACCACTCTGCTGTGCATAACAACATGAAACATTGTACAAAGACTGTAAATGTATACCTGTGGTTACCAGTGCCAGTTGGTTCTTATCACTCACTTTGTATTCCACCGACACTGGGGTGCTCAGTACTTGTTTTACTGACTGTACATCTCTTCCCTTGCAGCTGTTGCCTTTAAAATGGAAAATCAGAAAGCAAAATTGTCCTGAAAGGCTGAGAAGTGAGCAGGTCTTACTGCTGCAGCAAAATGCACAGGCTCCTTTTCTTGTCCATTGCTGGTTACCAGGATTTGCACTAACAATGTCAGTTCGGATAAACTCCGTGATAAAACCTAAAGGGAGGAGGGAGAGATTAAGGTCTCCTAGTCCTTGAAATTTCCAAGATCAATCCTGCTTTTGAAACTGTAATTAGTTTAAGGACACCTATGTATCCAAGAGATAGCTAGACATGGGAGGAGGGTGACAAAACTCCAGCGCTACTAAGTACCGACATCTCGTTAGAAGGAAATTAAAAACTTCAGTTAGTATTTATAACATTACCTTTACAAATTCACAAAATGCCATTCAATGCTCTTGTACCTTACTTTTTGCATGACGCTTTGAAAAGCCAATCTTTCACTTCATTTCTACACAAAATTCCAAAAGTCTAAGTATCTTACTTGAATATCTGCACTCTGCTGTAAGTGACTACTGTGAGATGCATAGCACTCTTCATAGTAATGTCTGAACCTTTGGTAGAGTGAGGTCACCTGAGAAAAACTCAGGCGTCGAAAAGACAGATTCAGACGACGTAAATAGAGACCTGCAAAAGAGATGGTTTTGACAAGTGAGATCCTTTTTCCTGCAGTGAATGTTCATCTATTTTGAGCCTCTGGTTATTTTCAAATTAAAAAATAATAATACTGAAAGTATTCTGCTGTTTACCAATGATAATAAACAATGTAGATAAAATATGTTCAGTCATGAGACATAACCAAACCTAACTTTAGTAAATATGTTGCACAGTATTTTAAAATTAATTAAATGAGATTATATTTAATTTTATTCCAAAAAAAGAACATTTCATTTTCCTATAATCTATGCAATGAACAAGTGGAGTGATACAAACAGTGTGTAGCAAAGGGGAGACAAACAAGTGACCAACAAGACAGCTAATCCTAAATGTGGTCAGAAAAATAAGTATCGACCAACCCAAATTTGGTGGAATAGAAAATAAGCAATAGCAACCAACTGACACCAGTAACCACAGGTATACCTTTACAGTTTTCGTATGATGCCTAATATTGTTACGCACGACAGGGTGGTCAATACTTTTTTTATTGACAGTGCATATCTTACCGACTACACTAGTCCACAGGCATGGAAAAGTTTCTGTACGAGGTTGATCTTGAATAGCAAACTTTTCCACAGAATCAAAGAGATTTAACAGGCTGTCAATTCCACTGCAATACATCTGCAAAAAAAAAAAAAAAATGTATATATATATATATATATATATATATATATATATATATATATATATATATATATATATATATATATATATATATATATATATATATATATATATATATATATATATATATATATATATATATATATATATATATATATCACCTAGTAAGTAGAGAAAAAGACAATAATAATTAATAATACTTTAAAAACTTTCACCAAGTGAGTTCCTCACTGATCCTTGAGACAACCATCAGATCTATTCATATCAACTGCATTGTAGGCTGTGCTATGTTCACCTCCTGCAGCAACATAATGTCATTCCAGATAATGTTTACATGCTACCAAACTTTGCACAACTCGTGGCAATATCACGCTGTGTAAAGGTGTGATTACTGGTTGCATGTCTCATGCAACACTAAAATATCTGTGTTATAATCAAATAAAAAATTATGCACCTGATGTAAGGCTGTCATGAAAGAGGTGATGTGGTGAGGAAGAAGAGGTGCAGATTCTAACACCTGTAGTAATTCAGACAGCACCATGTCCCCACCCTAAAATAAAAACTGGATATAAATACAAAAGAAGTAGACAAGAATTAGATTTTATGCAAAACCTATTTTCTACATGAAAATTAAACAATGCAGGATGCAAAAAATATATAAGAGTTAAATTCATAATAAATAATGTTCCCAGCATGTAATGGCATTCTCATGAAATGTCAGCACTGTTATTGGGGACGGACCTGGAACAATACCAAGGTGTACCACACATTCTGCAGTATCAAAATGACAAACCTTTCAATCTAGAATAAATGATAATATAGTAATTGTTTTCCTTGGCAACATTCACCAATGCACATACAGTATACAGTATCGGCAGATTTCCACTGCTCAGACTCGCATTTGATGATAAACAACTGTATTTTGACTGGAAGAATAATGTCCCTAGAAACACTGTAAACACTATTGATTAAGATTTAAGGTCAGTGTTATAGAATCAAAGGATACTTATTCAAGTTTCAGCTGTTACTTTCAAACAATGAGATTAGAGTCAGTTTTCAATCAGGAATTTTTTGCCATTAAAATCATGGATATGAACCTTTCATTTCTTTCTTAACATTTTATTATTATTACTGAAATCCTTAGTACAGTAGAGTATCATACTTTAACATAGAGGTACAGTACACAATTTATCCTCTCATACACCTTCCCTTTCTTTACTCTTAACTAACACTGCCAAAGAGTAACACAGTACAACCATCACAAGCAGGAAGACACACTGACCTGAACCAATCTCACAGTCATGAGGCAAGTTGCTTTACGTTCTTGTGGAGTGATGTCTGGGTGTGATATACTTGAGTCTATAAAGAAATTTAAAATAAAAATATAAGTCCACTACATCACTAATGGTAATTAAGGAACGTTCATTTCTATAATATTTAATTCCTTATAATTTAATTTTAAATGCCATACTTTTATATTTTATTTTTTACATACAGAACATAAACCTCCCATCACACAGGCTTCAGTCTTGCCCACTTTCCAATGGTGACATCACCTTTCCATAGCAGCTTCAAATTTATGGTAGTTACCTAGCTTTGCTGAATTACAACATTTTATAAAGACAGATATTCATTGAAATCCAGGACCAGATTACCAGTTAGGGTCTGAGGAGCCTGGGGCAAACTGATGCAGATGAGCCCACAGATATGTTTGTTCATGTTCATTACACTGCATATGTAATTCTGAGTGCAAGCATAAAAACAAAGTCCAGTACAGGGGTCTTTATTATATGTTGGGGATGTGTTCCAGAGAAATGTGACTTATAGTAAAACGTTTTATTATGAGTATTTTTCCCCAATAAGAATTAATGTACCGTATTTTATGGCATATAAGAAGCACCCCAATTTCAGTAGGGAATATTTAGGAAAAACACTTTTGTGTGTATTTTCCTCCTGTAGTAATGCAGGGGAGAGTGACCATCCTCTCAGACTGTCTGGTAAGAAGCACACAAAAGATGGTGTTTAGGCCTGTAATCAATAATGGGGAACAGTTGCCTCAGTGTGGAAGGTGCTGATTTTGCAATCAATGCTCTTTACAGCCTGAAACCCTTTAGGGAAATCATTACATCATGCACTTGTCATCTGATGCTGACCATGTGATGGGGAGGGAGGAATAATCAATACAGTACAGTACTTTATATTGAAGTGAATTAACAAATTATCCTTGATTGACACTGGAGCACTGTTGAAAAATAAAAAGACCAGTTATAAAAGTTGCCCTACAGTTAATTATGAAAGTTGCCTGATTTACAGGCATTAGCTAGATATTTTAATTTTTGTTTTAAATAGCATCAACAACAATTTACACCATAGGGTCTTAAAAGTGTTGATTTGGGGAGAGAAACATGATGACAATATGACATTATTTCTGGGAACAGAAAAAACTATTAATTGATTCACTGATTCTCAAACCCTAAAATATGGTTTAACAATACAGTACATTAAATTTTATTACTTTAAAACAAACAGAATTCACATACCTGAAGGCCTATGCTCCCAATATTTAGGTCTCAGTCTTGCATATTTTTCAATAAACAAGAGGATGGATATGTTGTGGGGAGTAACCACATCCCTCTCTCTTCTGTTTGAGCCTCCATAAAGAGGAGCAACAGATTGGCCAATCATATTTTCTTAACCTGTAAAAGAAAACAACACGATTTATGTAAATTCTTATTTTCCCTATTTCTTCCTCTGTCCAGCCTCCACTTGTGAAGTAGAGCGGTCATTTAGCATGCTGAGACATGTCAAGACATGGCTTCTTTCAACAATGTCAAGTGAATGCCTGTCTGGACTGTGCATTCTCAGCATGCATCGCCAGAAGGTGCTAAGATAGAAATAAAGCCTTCACTGAAGACATGATAATTGTATCAATTTGGAGCTGATAAGCGCCGCCTGCAGTATTTATTTAACCACTGAAATTACGCTACTAATGTTCTGAGCAAGTCACCATTGTGACAGACAGCTAGCATTGGTCATCCCTAGATTTTCAGGATTAATGATATCAAATTAATTATTTTGTTAGTTTTTAAGGTAATGCGGGAGCAGATGGCTAACACCAGAAGAAGTTGTTTGATTTAAATTTTTTGGGGGTATTACCTGAAAAACTGATCAAACAACACTAAAATGATGCCTCTACGTGCTTTGTACGTGAAAAAATTAATTATTTACAGTAAATTCTCCTCTGAAAAATCTTCCATTGTGTTGCAGTCTACGCTGTTTGTTTACAACAGACCCGCTCAGTTCAAGCGTCTTCTCACGTCCACAATAAATGTAAAATTACAGTATTATTTTAGTTTTGGTTATCCGGGGAATCATAGGAACTTTCTGTTCCCCAAAACTAAAATAATACCTTCATTGGTATCAGATATCAAAATAAGTACTTTCTATTTAATATGGCATGGGGTCCAGGGGGCATAGCCCCAGTGCTTAGAAGATAGGTAAGGTGAGGTACCTGGTATGTTTCTTTGGTTAGTTAGGTCGGGTTCTATTAGACTCTAGTAAATATCGGCGTTTATAATACTTACAAAAATGATAAGAACATCTGTGGAAAAAATGAACGATATCAAACAATTTCTTCTAGTGCTAGCCATCTGCTCCAGGATTACCGTTTTTCACCTTGTTTTACTATGCAATATCCTTCATGCCCTGCCCACTAAAGGTGATTTATGATTGCAGAGAAAAACTAAAAAAATAAAATAAAAATATACTTATAATTAAAATAAGATGATGTTGCCTCTTTTAAAATACTTAATATAATGGGTAATTATATAGGACTAACCCGCGAGCAAAATTGATTGAAAACACTTATAAAAACGCCGGATTTCCATTGTTATATTATTGTGGACACTGTTGTAGTTTGTGGAAAACTGTTAAAAAAATGAATATTTTTAAAATAAATGTTACTTAACATTTGTGGGTATGAAGAACAGACCTAACCAATCAAACCTTAACTTCCCCGGTATATTAAGCAGAGAGAACTGACTATGATATGGTGAAATTTGAGGCATTTTCTGGACGTGAGATACGGCCGCATCGGAATTCTGCTCCAGCATTACCCATACTTTTATATGGATGTATATACCTGCTTTGAATAAACTGTTATGTCAGATCTTGTCTTCATTACTGCCCAAATTCCCCACCCTTGGAGCGAACCCTACAGACGCCCATGGTCCAAAAGTTCTTAGGTGGAAGTGCTCAATGCTTCCTGCAATATACCCACCCCTATACCTTTCCTTCATTTACTATATAAGCAGTTCAAACAGATCTTGATGAGTCATTTATCTGTAATCTTATTAATACAATGTAATTCCCTACCACCTTGCATGTGAGCCCATAAATGTTCTCCGTCTGTGACTCTGACCATCAGCTGTTTATTGTTTTCAAAATACAACGACGTTCGTGTGATAATAATGTTATTCTTTAAATGTCTTCTAATGCACATTTTTTTTCAGCATAGTACTAATATTTTTCATGAATAATAAGGAATATAAATTTGATAAGATTAAATCACGAGAACAAGTAAATATAGTTATTGAGATTAAAAAGTTTATATCTGAACGTAAAAATTTGTGTGTACAGTACAGTGTATGAAGGCGTACACATAACGTTACACGCATGATACGGGTTTAATTGGCAACTGCAGGCCGCCATGACAAGAGAGACATCAATATCATAGGAATCCAAGTACTGCATTCCACAATGATGCCGTCTTAGAAAAGGTTGGTCCCACTCCTAGAAGCTGATGAGCCCTTACCACTAGCATGGTAATGAGGGGGTGCTGTAAGACCCCCCACCCCCTGGAATTTTTTTAAAATTTGAACAATATCATGGGCATTTTGAGGCCATGTGTACTAGATAATAAGAGATATTCTGAGGTCAATAGTAATTACTTTTTACTCTACAACAAACGCTTAAGTACAATACTGCATTAAAGATGTATTGAAATTTTCTGATGAAAGGGGGGGGGATTCGGACCCCCAGGACCCCCTTGGATCCGCTCCTGATAAATGCCATCAGATGGTAATTGAGATAAGGTTGGGTAGGCTGACTGCAGCCCGAAGAGCATGCTTACGTCTAAGCAGGACCCTAACTATGGCCCCACCTTCACCTTCCCCCTGCTCCTCATATTGTGCTTTACATCTCGTCTCCCCATTCAACAGCACGAGTACCAACCGAGCCATCACCCTCCCAAACCCTAGCCTTTTATATGCCCGGTTTCAGGGATTTATAACAATACGTCAGTACCTATTACATGCATCATGGCTTCAGACGAAAAAGAGCCCTAGCTCTTTCCCTACTTTCCTTCACTACTGCCTATGGTTTGGTGATTCATTTAAAACTAGAGTATTGCACTCTGGACCTGCTCTTTCGCTCCAACTACATTTTTCCTGTCACCTTCTTACCTCCCTAACTTTTCTAAGGCATGACTGTAAAGGAGATCGCTTTCGAGTAATCCTCAGGGGCGGATCCAGGAATATCAAAAGGGGGGGGTGTCCAAGAAGTTGTGGGTGATGGAACATGGCGAGCACAGCGAGCCCACCCAGTTGGGGGGTTTGGGGGGGAGCTGTATGCCCCCCCCCCCGAGAATTTTTTTGGGAAATCTGACCAGTGTCATAGGCATTTTGAGGCCATATTGAAGCCATGTGCATTTGATATTAGGAAATATTCTGAGGTCAATAGTAATTACTTTTTACTATTTAAAAATACTTGAGTACAATTCTGCATTAAAGATTTTTTCTTATAAAAAGGGGGCGACGGACCCCCAAGACCACCCCCCCCCATCCGCCCCTGATCCTTCATGATTCGTCCGCATTCCATGCGTTGTATACCCCTCTGTTTTTCCCCTGCCTGGCACCCGGCACTCTTAACCGTTCCTTGGCAACTATGAACGAAAGTGACTCTGTTGGCATTACCACAAAGGAGGCTCGCGAGAGTTCAAGTTGTTGCCGGGGTTGTGTACAGGTATATAATAATTTTAATTGAATTGTTTTTCCTTTTTTTTTGTATTGGTGTTTCATCACCCCATATTTGCAGCTACGGAGTGACTCAATTAACTTCCTTCCCTTGAAAGTGTCTTTTTTATTTAAGTTTTTCTCCTTCCCCACCTTGCAGAGGGAGGACAACAGGATGGTGGAACATCTACTGCGGAACGACCACGTAAAAGAATGCCAACATGGTTTTACCTGCTTGGGGCAATTACTCAAAGTGCAGGAAGTTTGGATTCAGATCCTGGAGCGTAATGGCAATATTGTCAATATATATCTTGACTTTGTCAAGGAAACAAAGAAAAATAGAGACCTGCCCCAAAACTTTCAGGGTTAGGGGGAGTTGGTCCCTCTTGGGAAGTCTACATATATTGGAAAAAAAAAGAAAAAAAAACACACAACCCTTGCACTTGATTTCTAAGGAGTTAATGTATTACTGTACTCTTATACACTGGGACGGTCTCACAGCAGCTTCCCATCCAACAAACTCCAACACAAATCCCCAAGATATAAACATGACAAGAAAACCGGCATCTTCCACTCTTAAACCACTCTTCGAGATTATTCAGTGGAGTAGCTAAATGTTCCGGGTAAACAGTTACAATTTGCCTTGTAAAAAGCCTGGTACGGGCCAGGTGTTTTTAATATGTTTTGACTACGTGAGATGAAAATTGAAGGACTCTAGATTACCATCTTACAAAGGCGAGAATGGATGTAAAGTCACCGTTTATGTTGCTGTACAGAGGTATTCTGCAGACTGGAATCAGGTGAAATTTGGATAAAGTTATACAACTACAGTGCAGTATTTGTTTTATCTACCTATCGTCAGGAGTACTCTGTCTGTAGTTTTACTTTTATCCTCTTCACCACTGATTGGCTCGTTAGCCGCTTGGGCGATCGGTTACGTCTCTGGCAAGTACTGGGCATGCACTGGCTCCTGAATGTATCTGAACCTGCTTCAGTGCTTATCCAGTCTGGTCTTGAAAGAGCTCACACCCGGTGCCGTCACCACACTCTCTGGCAGATTGTTCCAAGAGTTCACAACTCTCACTCCGAAAAAGTTACCCCTCACAGCTTTCTGCACTTGCGGCTTCTTTAACCTTGAGCTGTGTCCCCTTGTGGGGTGAGCGGCCGCCAGCTCCAGGTCAGGATACTCGACTGAGTAGTGCCCTTTGAGATGACTTCATTGTTTACCACTAACAGTGGGGATATAATTAAGATGCGATAATAAGGGTGGCCTGATAGCAGTGATCGTTTTGAATGAGTAACAATATAAAACTTTCAATGGAGCCTCTACCAAGTAAGCTTATGAGTTACTGTATAAGCGAGCTAGGCTCAGGCGCGAAGTCATTAAAAAGCAGAAGGAATACTTGGCAAGAACTCGTCTCGATGATAAACAGAGAGACCTCATCCTCTAAGGAATGGTCTACAAATGACCAAATAAAATCCAAGGGGAGTAACTTTATCCTCTGTCCTGCATCTCCAGAATTTCGCATGCCCTATAAACTACGGAAAGCGTTTCAGTGGATCCTTAAGCAAGTTTCCGAGTTCTTCGCTCTTGCTGTACTTATTCCAAAGAACTTCTGGTGACCAGCCACTGCCAACAAAGAACATCTGCAATATTTCCCCCATCTCTTCACAGGGTTCCTGGACTAGGAACCCTAACAGTGTGAGGTTGACGACCCTGCCATTAACTTCATTGGACACCGCGTCTTAGCTGCTGATTTACAAGAACTGGAGGATATGGTCGAAGCTATAAAGTAGGTCCTCCCCACCATCACTACGAAAGCTTTGAGAAGCTCGGAAGGTCGTCAACTTTTTTCATTGTTTTATTCTCCAGTGTGTGAATATCCCCCACTGACGAAAACACCTTTGTTAGGGAACTAAACACGTGAAAAAAATAGTACGTACCTTTGAAAATAAGGTTGTTGAAACTTTATGTATGGACAGTAATTTCGTACGGGTCAGAAGTGTGGACATTTTCAGCAGACACGACAAAGAAGTTAGAGGCGTATCAGGTAAGCCTTGACAGCGCACTAGGCAGAACCTGAATTGCCCCCCCCCCCCCTCTCGCAAATAATTATTATTGGTGAATTTAATTTTGATTTAAGTAATTTTTTACGCCTGAACATAAGGGTGGTTGGAAATCAAAGCAGCCTTCTACCAAAACTTTCACATTACAATCATGGTTTGATCGCTTCTGCTCTCGTTTGCAGGGTGAGAGATGGGGCATATCGAGCCATGACACTATCTCCTTTTACCCACTCCTCTTTCAATACTTCTAGGAATCGTTGTAAGGCTATTCTTCGTAGGGCCAAGCGGAATTTTATAAAAAGAAAGACCTCTCTCCTGACTAATTCTTTCTCTAGTAAATCCGTCTGGACTTTAACCAAAAACACATTTACAACTTCTGCACTCCTTCTTTTCCTCCTATCTTCCGACCTGATAACTCTATAGCCAACTCTCCCCCTGACAAAGACAATCTCTTTGGCACCTTATTTTCCTTTAACTCCACCTTAGACGATTCCCACTCTTTCCCTCCTACCCCTGCTCCTCCTACTGAAACTATGCACTTTCCTATAATCTCCACTCGCAGGGTTGTTGGTGTGTTATCCAGGTTGGGTGTGAGTTAGGCGCGAGTTAGGCGCATGGACCGGACGGAATACCCCCTCGTGTTCTGAGGGAGTGTGCTGAAGCTCTGGCCCCTGTGCTTGCTCGTCTCTTTCGCCTCTGCCTCAAAACCCAAACTTTTCCTTCTTCTTGGAAGCATGCCTTGGTTCAGCCCATCCGAAGAAGGGTGACCATTCTAATCCCTCTATCGCCCCATTGCCCTAACTTCATCCCTCTCTAAAATTTTCGAAACTATCTTGAACTCCCATTTTCTCCGTCACCTTGAACGCCTTTTTCTTTTGTCGGATCACCAGTATGGCTTTCGCCAGGCGAGATCTGCTGGTGATCTGCTCTCCTATTGCACCCATGTTTGGTCATTCTCTCTTAGGGATTATGGGGAAACTTTTGTCGTGGCCCTCGACATCTCCAAAGCATTTGACAGGGTATGGCACAAGTCTTTGCTATCTAAACTTCCCTCTTTTGGTTTCTCTCCCCCACTTTGTTTTCTAATCTCTAGCTTCCTTGAGAACCGATCCATGGCAGTTGATGTCGAGGGATCGATCTCTCGCTTTTTTTCTACCAATAGTGGTGTCCCACAGGGTTCTGTTCTTTCACCCACTCTCTTCCTTCTTTTTATCAGTGATTTACTTCACTCTACAACTAATTCTATCCATTCTTATGCTTATGATTCTACTCTTCACTCTTCTTCATATTTTCCCCTTCCTCCTAACTCTCAAACAAGATATGTTTTTAGAGCTGATATCATTACTTCTATCAATGCAGATGTGCAGCATCTTTGAATGGGGAGGTACAAACTTGGTTAAATTTAACAGTATTAAAACTCAATATTTACCAATTACACTTTCTAAATTAGACGGTCTCCCACCAATTACATTTCAGGACGCTATCATCCTGCCAAATTCAGAAATAGATATGTTAGGCCTCACCATTTCCTCCAATATGTCCTCCCGAAAGTTGGGAATGCTGTACAGATGCCGTAGCTACTTCACTACTGAGCAGTTGCTCCAAGTATATAAGGGATTCATTCGTCCTAACTTGGAGTACTGCTCTCATATCTGGGGTGGCTCTTCTGTCCAACTGCTAGATAGGGTGGAATCAAAGGCATTTGGTCTTATTAACTCTCCTCCTTTAGTCGTCAATCTCTCTTCCCTTTCTCTTCGCTGCAGTGTTGCTTCACTCTCTTTTATAGGTACTTTAACGGGTAATGTTCGGTGGATTTGGCGTCCTGTGTACCGCTGGCAAGGCCGTGGGCTCCTAACACATGTCTTGCCCGCGGTGCCCACCTTTTCTCTGTGGATGTCGGTCACACGAGAATAACCCGTTATAGTGCCTCCTTCTTTCCTCACACAGCCAAACTGTGGAACGCTCTGCCTTCTTTTGTGTTTCCATACTTATACAATCTGTCTCACTTTAAAAAGCTGGTTTTCCGGCATCTTCGTGGTGTAGATTAACACAGTATAACCTTTTTCTTCTCTATATTAAATTTCTGTCTGTTCTTATTTTTTCGCCCCTCCCCCCCCCAAGGCCCCGTTGTGGGTCGTTTGACCTGTGCCCGGGTGGTCTAATTCCCATAAAAAAAAGTATGCATTTTCATTGGATTCGCTGCAAAATTAAATTCTTACATAAATAAAATGAGAAGAATAAAGCTTCAAATGCCCCTTCTTCCACCACCTATAGCTATATTACACTGCATACCTGCACTGTATTGTCTATATACATATCAAACCAATTGTAAACTTGTATGATGATTTTACTGAATGAATAACAATCAATCATTCCATCAATCCCTACAACCTATTGCAGGGAATGTAGAGAGCTCTACATTCCCTGATGTAGTATGTGTATCTTACCGTTGTTGAATTCTACGTCCAACTTTAGTGTTAAAGAAAAGTAAATTCGTGATAAATAATATTTTTCAGTGTCTGAAGATTACGAATTTGCTTGTTATACAAGAAAATTATCAATATGAGTTAGAAACAGTATCAGGAAGTTTGTCTGCAAAATATCATTGACGTCAAAATCAATAGCAAGTACAGGTATATTTCTTATATTAAATAGCCTTTATTGATTTATTCGCAATGTCTAAAAGCTGAATATCTCATGAAAAGAAAATAACCAGCCATATCTTGAAATATAAATTGATTTCTTTTATTATCGTTTTCGCTTGTTTTGTTTCTCAGCATTTTATGTAACATCAAAAAAGAATCCGTAATTAATTTCAAGATAAACACTGCAAATTCAAATATTAAAATGTGAAAGTAATAAGAAAATATACACGAGCTTAATTTTGTTTGTTAAATTTTCAATATGGTAATTATTCACATATAGATATATGAAGTTACTAAAATCACCGGAAAACATGTTTTTATTATGAAGGGAACATGAATGTAAAGCATAGACCTAGTTACTAATAGGCCAAGGTGAAAAACAATCTGAAGTATATATTTACAGATGGAAATATGAAAATAAGTTATCAGAATGTAATATGAAGAATTAATATGGAAAAAATATACATTTTACTTATTTTTGCATTAGAGGGAATAATTAAATATTAGCGCTTATCAGTTGTTAAGTTATATTATATAAACATGAGTATATTATATACATTTATTTTTAAATTTTGGTAAAAAATAATTTATAGTCATTTAAAATTTAGTAGCGTAGTTTCCTTTGCAACGGAAATATTTTCAAGATGACTTAAATCCTATTCTTTTTGACATAGACAAGTAAGACAAGTTGTCAGTTTTGGCCGTGAGCGGCAGCACCGTCGACAGGTGGGCGCGCGGCAACAGCTTCAGTGTGGCAGGCATCACCAAAGCATTTCATTGCACTTCCTGCGTACTCTCGATATGACTTTTTAGATACCATGATATAAATGAAATAACGTGTAGCAACTCTGTCGTCTGGTGTTAAAAGCAAAACGTGTCCTTCTTTTACTAATAGAGAAAATCTTCCCCAGAAACAAGGTGCATTTGTGACGCATCCTCGTGTTCCCGCCACACTTTGGGGCCAAGATACAGGGCATTGGTGCCATAATGTTGCAACACAACCACACATACTCTACCATAGGCCTATGAAATAAGTCATATAGTTTAAAATTACACTTTATAATATTAAATAACAGTTGAGTACAATATTACAGAGAGAATGAAATAAAGAAGAGGGCAGACTGTGTGGTGGGACCATACGTGGCAACATGGTGCACCGTGCGCGTCGTTGAGTGGTCCCCGTGCAAAAGTAATCACGTTGCTCGTTCGCCATTTGCAGTAACCGGCCGTTGTGTATGTGTTGTAATATACGTACTGAGTAAATTATAAATCATCGGCAAAAGTTAGTAAGTTGACAGTTCAACAGTTATGTAGCTTTATGCATGTAGGTAGCTTTTAGTAGAAAAATTCGCCATTAAATAGAGACGTCCAAGTAAAACCAGGGTGAAATACCATCGTGGTGTACAGAGGTTGAAGGAGCCGTCCGTTGAGACCGTTACATGCTCTAAAGGACGTGTTACCGGCTGCATTGGGGTTGGTTTGCTTGTAGGCATTGAACTATGTGTATTTTTTTGAAGTGCCAATCAGATACAAAGTGTGAAATATATAGATGTGCGGAAGTAGGCGTTGTCGCGGGCTGTGTTTTGGCGGGAGACCGAGCCGTCACACAGCTGCTGGAGCATGTGTTGTTGTGGCGCACCTTAACGCTGGTGCCCCACACTTACACCAGTCTACTTTACTACATAAATACCGTATAGGAAAAGGGAACTAAGCTCCACCTGTGTCAGTGATTATAGAAAGGTCCCGTACACCTCTGAACAAACGGGCCTTGTTATCCAGTGTTTTCGTTCTGTACTTTGTGAAGTCCTTATATTGTCAAGATTTCAGAAGGCTTCTAATTCATTGAACTTTAATTTACTGCCTGGCGTCCTTTTGTTATTGGGTAGTGAGTGCGACTGAGGTATCTACAATTATTATTTGTGAAGTGAATCCATACATAGTTCATAAAAGTGACAGACATTTTAAAGATCTGTTGAAAATATCAGTGGCCATATGATTTTACAGTTATGAGTTTCCCTAATTTAAATGACACTTTTGATGTAATACGCTATGGAAGCTATGATAAAATCACAAAGGGAGACTAGGGTAAAGTGTAAAGTAATGTTAATGTGGAATCTCAGTCTGAATTATGTAATGAGTTAAGTAATCTTGAGATTACACTGATAATGTATGGGCACACACCAGTACTGTTGACGTTACAGTAGGTTCTTGTGATTTACTTTACAGCACATGCAAACATTTATTATAAAAAAATTCTACAGAATAAACTTGTCATAAGCCATTTGACATTGTCTGTCATGTTAACAGTTTGGTGTTGGTAATGGTTATTTTTAATATGAACTGAGAACTGACCAAGAAGCTTTACTGTGCAGTGCTCATATTTATTCCTGTGAAGTCACATGGTGGGTTTGCAACATGAACTGTGACAAGGAAATTTGTTCCAAGCCGTGCTGGTGATGTAACTGTTATAGAATGGATCATTTAGCTGTTTTCAGATGTTTCTTGGCCATAAATACATGCCAAAGGGTGGGACACATTTAGATTGGCAAAACATTTTATATCTGGTGTTATCCCATAGAACATTTTTAGGTGAATGGTGGAAGGCTTTCATCTAAACCAGCCAGTTTGGATATAATATTCCTAAGACAGAAAGGTTAAAATGAAGAGAGCACTTGAAGATTAACTTCAGTGTGAATAATATACCAACGTGAATGATGTCAGATGACTCAAACTAAACAAAGGTAATCTCACCAGACCTGATGATATTTAGAGTAAACTTTAGTTGGGGTGCATTTGTTAGCAAGACTGGCACATTACTGGGTTATTTGAAATGTTATTAATATAAGTTTTTAGCTTTTCATCCATTGTGGATTTCTATATGCATTTAAGTACTGTAACAAGCTGTAGTATTGTGAAGACCCTATTAAAAATATAAACAAAAGTGGCAATCCTCTCCACAATCTTTTATATATATATATATATATATATATATATATATATATATATATATATATATATATATATATATATATATATATACATACATACATATATATACACACACACATACGTATATATAAAACAAAGAAGTCTGTCTGTTTGTTTGTTTGTCAGCCCGCACGAGAATCTCGGAAACTACTTTACCGATCTGTAGTGATGATGGATGGTGTTATATGTAGTGATGATGGATGATATATGTAGTGATGATGGGTGGTGTTATATGTAGTGGTGATGGATGGTGTTATATGTAGCGATGATGGATGATATATGTAGTGATGATGGGTGGTGTTATATGTAGTGATGATGGATGGTGTTATATGTAGCGATGATGGATGATATATGTAGTGATGATGGGTGGTGTTATATGTAGTGGTGATGGATGGTGTTATATGTAGTGATGATGGATGATATATGTAGTGATGATGGGTGGTGTAATATGTAGCGATGATGGATGATGTTATATGTAGCGATGATGGATGATGTTATAAATGTAGTGATGATGGTGTTATATGTAGCGATGATGGATGATGTTATATGTAGTGATGATGGATGGTGTTATAAATGTAGTGATGATGGATGGTGTTATATGTAGCGATCATGGATGATGTTATATGAAGTGATGATGGATGGTGTTATATGTAGTGATGATGGGTGGTGTTATATGTAGTGATGATGGATGGTGTTATATGTAGTGATGATGGATGATGATATATGTAGTGATGATGGGTGGTGTTATATGTAGTGATGATTAGACAATAAAATAATAACAGTTTAATGCAAAAAAAATATACTTTGCTGTACCGTTGTAGTGAAAAACATGGTGGAACTTACACCGTTAATGAACTATTGATGGAAGAAGTTTTGGGGACTGATCAGTGAGACAATGTGGAGCCTCTTGGAGGGTGGAAACATCGGTTGAATGAGTGGTGGTGTATTGCAATGTCATGAAAGACTGTGTCAAATCAGTTTGTGCAGACAACTCTCGTCACATTTCTTGATGGGGAAGAATGAATGATTCGCGAGAAATCCGAACTAACCTCAAGTGCAACTCTCAGCCAGTGTGATAGACGATATGACTAAATTTGTCTGTATCAGTATTGATTAGCCATTATGTACAGTCCAGGAAAGCAGGATTTCTTCATCACTCGCTATTACGTGATAAACTTGACATTATGATTGTTACCGGGTGTACATTACTCCAGATAGAACTACAGTACAGTAATTACCATTTGGCCAGTAAGTTTCCAAGTGGTCAATGCTGAAAATTTATATGATTTCATTATTATTATTTTTTTAAGCTTGAAAGATGAGAACTATACAGTAGTGCAAAAAATTCAGTCTTTATTTTTGATAGGATCTTGACAGGTAAATTTGTTTCAAGGAAGGAATGATGTAGGAGCTTATATAAATTACATTTGAAATATCCTTATCAGTATCAAGTGCAAGTGGAAGAAGCAAATGACTAACAACCAAAGAGATGTGCTTATTATTTGAATGGGTTGACCTGACCAGAGTTTACTAAAGTGGTATGGATATATTAAGAGATGTGAAAACAGATTTGTAAAAGTAAGAACAATTCAAGGTTGGATGGCAGGAGGGTGAGGGTTTGATCAAGAAGATGGAAGCAGATGTTAAGGAAATAACAGAAGTGAGAGGGATTGACATGCAGGAAGTACAGTACATCATGTCCTTCAAATTCGACAGGGTTGGGTTCTCAAAATGGCCACGAATCGCCAAATCTGCGAATAACATTTGCTTACGGGGGTAAATTTTTACTTGTGTACAAAGATATGTATATTCCATATGTGTTTGCCCTTAGGACAATTATTTCTTTTATCTGTGCTGTATTGTATATACATATGTGTGTGTGTGTGTAGACACACATACACACACACACTCACACACACAAAACATACAAATGGATAATAATGGGAAAATCCTCTCGCCAATAATCAGAAACAAATGTATTAAAAATGTTGGGTCTACCCTCAAGCCCACTCTTCTTTAAAAATAACAAAGCACGAAGTGGACTTGAGGGTAGACTCAACATTTTTAATTCATTTGTTTCTGATTATTGGTGAGAGGATTTTCCCATTATTATTTATTTGTGTTTTGTGTGTGTGTGTGTCTACACAAACACACACATTTATACAATACAAGTAAAGGAAATTACTGTCTCTAGAATGAATGGCTCCCTGTCCTGGCCTCAAAAATGCCAGCAACTTTAAAACTACCCTTAAACATTCTTGGGTACATCCAGGGTGTTATCTGCGAATAATCGAGGTCCGCGAATAAAGAACCTGCAAATTTGAAGGGCATGCTGTAGTGCATATTTGATGGGAGAGGATGACTAACCCTTTTGAGTGTCTGCTGCTGGTATCCAAATTCTGGCATAGCAGGCATAGTTGCAAAGATCTAACATTAACAATTTAAGCTGTGAATAAATGGTAGGAATTAGTCAGTGTCTGTGATATTGAAGCAAGAATTTGTACATACAGGTATATGTGTGACGTTTAAAGGTGCGAATGGTTTGTTGGATATCACAGCAGGTAGAAGAAATGAGTCTGAGTGAATTAGAGTAATGTACAGTATTTCAGGCACCCTGCAGCATAACAGGAAAAAGCCAACACTATACTGTAGTGTGTTTTTGATTTATTCTTGCAGTTATGCAAGGTTGCTGGTACCAAGAGCATATACAGAACACCATAGACTCGTCTTTATATATACCCTCTACAGAACTGTATGGTAAAATCCTGTTTCTATGAAGTGGCTTAGGACTGAATTCATTCCATATACAGTAAAAGGATTTTCCTTAATACAGTTATTGGGTATTGTACCCTTAGAAATATTGTGAAAATCAGTAATTAATAACATTGGAAAAATAACATGTAGAGTAGTATGTATTTCCTTTATCATCAGACTATCAAAATCACCTGATTGGCTCAGGTTAGGTGTATCCAGTACAGTACTGTACTAGATAATCTTGACACAGTTGACTGTCATGGTTTCCTCTCCCTGACATGGGTAATCACCTCCCACAATTGCCATGGCGACATCTCAAGTCGGGGAAGATCTTTGTTTCTTGCCCAGACCACCCGAGGTCCAGAGTCAATGCTAATAGTGTAGTACCAATGTGCACAACCTTGGGACTCATATAATGTGTGTGTAAAGTTTGGGTTCTCTAACTTGTTGCATTTTGGAGCTATGGTCAGAACAGACACGCTCACAGGTAGACAGAAACATATTATAAATAAACTATGTATTTATGTAATATATTGTACACAAAAGCAGTAGAAAATTACTAGATAATCATACTTTTTGTAATTAATATACTTTACAGACACAAAAAATAAGTTAGTATAGTACAGTACAGTACACTACAACTAGCTGACCTGGCTGCCAATAGTTCCATGTGTCTTAACCTGCAACCCACAAACTTATATGTTCACACTAGTCACTGCAAAGTTTTTAGCTTCAGTATTAAGAAAATACCCAAGTAAACTGTGATAACTGTAAATGTGACCCAAGTACTGGATGTAAATGTACACAATAACAACTACAGTATAGTCTCGTTTTACGCGGTCAATTAAACCCGTGGAGGTCCGCGTATAACGCGAAACGTGTAAACGAAATAACAACATATGGGATTAATTGAAATAGAGACTGGGCCAACCCCCAGACTACCCTTTTTCCGACACAATACGAACGTTGTAGTAAAAATAACATTTTAATTTTATGATGGTATGCACACACAATTAATATATAAGAGAAATATCAATAATATTAGGTTTTTTAAGACTTACGTTAGTAGAAGAGATGGCTGGGCACACGGGGATGGGAGGCTGGTTCCGAGGCAGAGGGCAGATTATTGGCCCTCACCTGTATCACTTGTATCACCTGTATCACTATCCACCACAGAGGCTAGCAGGGCCTCCTCGTCAAACCCCTCAAAGTACATATCCTCACTATCACCATCACTGACTTGGTCTGGCTGTGGTGGGTGGCAGATGAAGAACTTGGTAATGTTTTGTTGACTGGGCAAGCAAGGTTAAATAGACCAATCACAGTGCGCGGCGGAGGGGATGCGTGGCCCAATCACTGTCCGAAATGTCATCTGACGTCAGCGGTGATGTAAGAGCGACCTAGTGCGCAGCTTGTCTGCGCCGCTTCCCGCGTAAATTCAGGAATGTACCGCGTAACTAATAATTGGCGCGTCTGGACAGGTGTCGCGTAAATGACCAACTGCGTATAAAAAGTTGCGTAAACCAGGACTATACTGTATAGCTATGTGGCAAAAGCAGTGCTTAGTTATTGAGTGACTGCCATGGTTACACCAATAGATCAAAAAACATTACTGAAACCTGAAAATATTGAAGAATGTCAAAGGAAAATTATACTTACTTATTCTAAATACCTGTATATCCTTATATTTACTTCACACTAATAGAATTCATTGAATTTCATTTTAGCATCCAATTTTGAAACTAGATAATGGCTATTGAGCCGGGTCTAATGGTAAAATAACTCGAGTGCTATTGAACCAGGTCACTAGGTAAAATAGCCTACAGTTATATACAGCAGGGTTGTTTATTGTTTTATTGACTACAGTACAGTATATACCTCGCCTGCTCTAACTGAACAAAAACAATTTTTTATGCTTAATGAAAATGTTTATACATAACTTTATACCTTTGTTGTTTCATGTGATTGCAATATGAACCTAATTCCGTTATAAAGTGTACATGCTTAGGAAACAATAGTTTTGGAAGAAAGATTGTGAAAAAAATCTTATTTTGCGAGGTAATAATGGTGTAAATTATTTACATTGGAAATATTCTAGTGAAAATTATAAGTACAGGTATTTAAGAATGATAATTCTCTTAAAGATAACTTAGAAGTTCACAAAATAGATCTGTCTTAATTGGACTCTAGCTTGGAACATTATTTGTTAAAATAAACATCTTCAAAGTTCACTTAAATTATTATACGTAATTTCTCTTGACTTTCAGTTGTCATTAGTAAGGTTTTTAAATTTTTTTTGTTCACAATAAACCTTTTGATCAATTAATCTAAACCTGACATGTAGACAGAGAATTGGCTATTGTAAAAATCTTGATTACATGTGTGTTTTTGTATGTACTGTAATACATTTGTCAAATGAAATAGTGCAACTTGTTGCTGGTAGTAAGTTAGCAACAGGTGCCATGCCATTTTAACAATATAACTGCTAATAAATATTTACTGCCTAAAGGCTTCCTCCTGGTTTTGTAGTATGTTAGTCATGCAAGCTATTAAGTGTTCTGATATTTTAACAAGGTCTGATGTTGAGCGCTTTCAGCGAGTAGTAGCGAGATTTTTTAAGTAGCCACGGTCTGCATGGTGATATATCTGAGTAGACAGAGGATCAGCTGTTGCCCAATTCTTAACTACTGTACTGTGTATTTTTATATGTTACAAGTTTGTAATTTTTTAAAATTCACACCAAGCAATTTGCATTTCAAATTGGCATAGAATATGAATTAATAAATTCAACATACTCGGCACTTTTTGAGAGAGATTCTTGGCCAAGCGTAACATTCCTCTGGTGTCCTGCCCATATTTGCTCTATGAGTTGATCTATGCTGTTGATGCATAGATATGAAGTGGAATGAGTCGAGTTATTACTATCAAGAGGTTTCTTCCGAGGTACCAGTCTGCTTGCCTGACCTTGAACAAAGGACAGGAGAGGGAGAATTAATATTAATCATTATACAGTATTAGCTTTCTTAGAGAAAAATAGATAATAATAAGAGAGAGAATGTTGAGTTTCTCTCCTTCACTGAAATCTAATCTGAACTTGGTCATAGATTTGCCTTATCTATGAAACACTAATAAATCATTGCTCTATAATATACAGTGCAAGATAATGATTTTCTCCAATTGGGTGCTTACTGTACAAGAGAAAATAAAAGTACAATGCATACAAAAAATTCACTTCTCCGTGTCAATTTTTTTTGGAATTGGCTCAAATGAATAGGTTATATTCGGATTGCAACCCAGAATTGGGTCACCAGGTTTGGGTGGGTCACCAGTGATCTCCAGTGCTTGTCCAATATACAGCAAATACTAACAATTAATTACTTTATAATTTATTACACGTGAACTATTTGAAGACATGGATTGACAAGTTGGAGCCAAAACCAGATTTTGGGGTTGAAAACTATAGAAGGTTAAGATTAAGAACCACTTAAAGTAAACAATAAAAGTCAGTACAGTACTTAATACAGGGATGAGTCTTTAGCGATTGGGATGTGTTCTTGAAAAACAGATCGCTAAATGAGGTGATTGCTAAGCGAATTGAAACTTGTGTAATTATGTAGCCGAGTCGTTGACTGACCAACTCGCCACCCAGTAGCACTCAGAGTGGGTGACACTGAGCTATGTTAGTTTTCGACTCATAATTTTGAGTAGATAAACTTTTTTTACATGCACACATTCTTTCATGCAGAATGTACAAAAAACTATTATAAGTCAAAAACATAAGGGGATACAGTAAAGACTTCTTACCTGGTCCACAGTAAGCCAACAAGAGCGGAGAAGCAATCAATTTAGTACAGGTAATAAACAGTCCATACAGTACGTACTCAATAACATGCCCAAGCCACAACAATAACAGCGATGCACAGCAATAGGAAGGATGTGTTAACTTCCATCTCCAGTGTGGGTCAGAGGCCAGTAACTAATAAAATTATAATAGTCAATAGTTGTTGCTCTTGGTTTAATATTTAAGAGGTCAGAGGTAAATTATTTGCTTCTCATACATTCCTGAAGTTAATTGGGAACCTGGTTGAGGAGATCTAGAATTCACTTCGTGGTATGAGTTATACTGTATTAGTGTTGGGGAGTCATGCACTTAAAAATGGATCTACTTTGGGACCTATTTGAGCAAGTCATAGGCTGAGTTTTCATTTTTTTTTCTCGCGAGACTTAGTTTTAGGCTGAAAGATGTTTTAAGTTTTGGCATGGAAGGATAATAGATTTCAAGTTTTGTGTCTGGTTAATGGTGTTAGTGACTGAATTTTAAGGCAGCTTAATCATCAGACACTTGTTATTAATCTGAAAGCTAAATGTTGGAACTTTCAAAGTCTACATTTCTCGGATAATTAGTGACGTGACTTGTACAAGCAGGTTACACCATGAGAACACAAATCTGGTTTTACTGCACATTTATCCTCATGAGGTGGTATGTCAATGAAAACCATTAAAAGGGTGGCTGGTTTTTGGCAGCAACCTCTCTCGGGTACTCCCTGGATGAGAAAATGGTACAGGAATGTTATAAGGTGTCATTAGAATTATATTTAGTCACCCTTTGTCTAGCTAGTTTTAGTTACACAGGTCACCTGGGGCTTACAGCTGGCTACAAATCAAGGAATGATCCCATAAATCTCATTGTATGGGTGCATCAGGGCAAGGAAACTTGGAACCCTCCCTCTTGTTGGGTTTTATCATGGAGGTCAGCAGAACTTTTGCTTGGTACTGGAAATTTAGTTAAACTTTTGATGAACTTAGCAAAGGTCTGCCTTCTGAAGTTGCCGTAGCACAAGCATTTACTTAGCTGCCAGTCCTAATTGGTAAAGTATCGTCTCCAAGGTTTGGGTTGCGATATGAGAGTTGTATTAATTGTGTGATTAAGTACAGCTGTCAAGATTATGAGTTAGCTTGGGTAGTAATAAGCACATTTGGCTAAAATTTTAAGTTGCCTTGATCTAACTTGGCAATGAAATTAAATTTCCAAGATCCCTTTTAGTTTTTATCTTGGCAATTATGTAAATCTCCCAGGATATTAATATTGTGGAGAATTATGCTATTACTGCACTGTACTTAATTTTTAGTTGGTGTTAAAGAATGTTAAAGAAATTTGTTTTGTGTGTGAATAGTGAATTTGGGGGTACTTTTGTTAAGGAACTGTATTAAGGAGCTCTAAAGATATTTGGGGGAGGGGGGGGGCATGGTGTTGCTACATATCATAAAAGTTTTGTACTGTATGTACATCTAGTTACACTGTATATTGATTTCTTACAGGGGAGTGATGGCAGAAGGTAATGGTGGTGGTGACCCGGGGTCACAAATAGATGGCGAACGAACAGAAGATTACCAGAAATTAATAAATTATGGACTAAATGAAAAAGTTGCAGCAAAACTAGATGAAATCTACAAACAAGGCAAACTGAGACATGAAGTAAGTTTATGATTAATTTGAATTATATTCAATGTGCAGTATTCATTCCATGTTATCGGTAGATATTTTAAACAAGCTGTGTACTGTACTGAAAAGTTATGGAATGCCCATGAATTTGGACTAAGAATGTTGTGGCCAAATTCTAAGTTTACTTAGTTTGTTGAAGTATTTTGAATCTAGAAAATTTATGAAAATGTTTTAAACATGAGAGTGTTATTGAATTGAGTGCAAATGTGTATGTGATGTCCTTGAAAATGTGGCATTCAATATTTTATTTCACAGTATGAGCTCAGGATTGTGGATATGTACATGAACTTGCAATGTCATTTTTTCTTTCATACTGGTCTTTTGTTTATGAATGGTGGGATACTTGTTTCACCTCACCTAATTGGAGTGTAGAACATTGATTGTTAGTAGAATGTTGAGAGTGTAACAAACTTTAAAATTTTTAATTTATACTGTAATACAAGAATTCTTGTGTAAACAAAGAGGAGGCACAACTAATGCTGTGAATTTCATTGCAGGATTTGGATGAGCGGGCTTTAGATGCATTAAAAGAATTTCCGGTTGAAGGTGCAGTCACAGTACTCAAACAGTTCTTGGAATCAAACCTAGAACATGTATCTAATAAATCAGCTTACCTCTGTGGTGTAATGAAGACGTATAGGCAGAGGAAACAGTATAACAGTAAGTTAATCCTCTGAAATTTCAAATGTCTCGTGTCATGATAAAGTAAAAAAAAAATTATGCTGTCATTTATTATTTTTGCTGTCATGGATGTATTTTGCTGCTCTGGTACATTTGCCCACAGGTAATGTGAAGAGAGCATTTGCCAACAACTGTGCTCCTCACGTTACCGATTCATTCATAAAGTGATTCCGATGTTGCCACATGTTTGGAAAGGTCACCGACAGTTGGAACACTATACCTGTGAGCATGCTCAATACCATGCTTTCTGCACATTCACGTATGTTGCTCTTTCCTGGAGGCCCAACTTACTCTGTGATCCACCCCCTATAATTTTTATTATAAATATATTCCTTTCTAAACTTTTTTTTTGTACGCCAGTCATCCACTTCCGTTCTCTTAGTACGGTACCAAACTACTAGAGCAAAAGGTGGAATGTAGTGTACCAAAAAATACCCTTTTTGTTATAAACAGAAAAATTTTTCACTGCTGGAAACTGAAAAGAAAAGTTGTAACTTTTGGCGCATTTACTTACTTTCCTGCATAATTATCATTTCAGTTTTAAATGAATAACAATATTGGTTTGGTGAAATGCGATATAGATTTAGATATTTTCATCCTATCAGCATGGATGGAAGTAAATGAGGATGAGTGGTGCTGTCCTGCCATGAATAGAATCCACCTAGTCAAAGCATATTAACACAAATAAAATGTGGGGGACATGATTTTCAATGAAAATGAATCTAATGGCTTCAATGTGGTTCACATTTATGAAATTTTTGTGCAGTTAGATTTAAGAAAGGGGAGTAAGGTATCTTTGGTCCTTCCTCTGAAACTGCATCTTCACATAACCTACAAACCATATGTTTAATTTTTAGGACCCCCTACTGCTCAGGTGTCTCAGATAGAAGGGGTTCTCCAAGACAAGTGGCCTTAGTGTTACATTTTTGGTTGTTGACACCTGCTTTCTTGTGTACATTACCTTTAGATAACTTCTCCATTTCTTTGGGATGTTAAAGGCTGAGGGTTACCTACCGTTTCCTCTGAACTTAGTGCCTTGATAGGCAGACTTTTAAAGAATCTAAGGAGTCAAATTAAAGCTTTGACAAAAGAAAATGGCTACAATATAAAAAATGTTCTGGTGTTCAAACATGACACAAGGGACTTGTTTATGGTTGACCTCATGTTACACATTCTCTCTGAAAAATGGCTGCACTGTACATTAATGTTCAAATTTATTTTAAAACAGTAACAACTGTTTATACTGTACATTATTTGTGTAGGTTAGGTTGAAGTTCTTGACGGGAGATATTGGCGCCCCTTACTATGGGACCGAGATTCTGACATGCCAACCATATTGACGTGGAGAGGTACTAAAAAGAAAAAGTGAAGTCCTGTATTCATTCTACATGGCAGCTCGTGGTGGATGTGCCCCATGCATTTTTGTCAGTGAAACCTTGAAATTAGAGGCATGAATCAAAGTGCTTAATACACTCAGGATTTCCACTGTGGTCCTTCAGTGTTTATAGTACATATCTTAATTATACATACTGTATATAATATGTTCTGAGCACATTCGAGTGTTGCAATTGACTTGATACCCTGGAATGCTAACAGTGATGAAATTAACTGCTCTGCCAGTGATAGAGAATTGGAGTGATTTTAAGTGCTAACTAACAGAGGACTCCGCATTTTTTTTTAAGAACAAGGAAGTCCATAATACGAGGTCTTAATGTGGGTCACCTCTGCTTGCTGCACCTTGAAAACATCTCTATATGATAGACTACATGTACCTCTTACTGTCAGCCTGATTGAAACCTTAGGATCTTAATATTAAGATATAAGACTGGGCACCCACAAGCTACATGGAAGAATGTGGGCATGGCTTCTTTATTTTCATAATGAACAAACTAAATGCACTTTATTTAGATGGAAATGACTAATGTTGATATAGTGATAGATTGATATCTATTAATTAAAGCCAGAGAGATTACTAAATACTGTTATAATAAGTAATTGATCTTTGTTATTACAGCAGACAGTATGGCTGTCAACCCAGGTAAAGGACCAAATGAAGAGAATTTGAAAGCAATCCTGGAGCGGTCAGGGTACACACTAGATGTAACAACAGGACAGAGAAAATATGGTGGTCCCCCACCTAATTGGGAAGGTCCACCCCCGGGCCCAGGATGTGAAGTAAGTTGCAATTTCTCTCTGTTATGTAAGTTCTGGAATTTCACCACCTATGTACTGTACATGGTAATTTATACAAAGAACCAGTTAGGCTACACACAAAACGAAAAGGAAAATTTTTTTGTTTAATTAGTTGAGAGATCATTCATTTATTAAGCTCTTTCTGTGAGAAAGAATTGTAAGTGTATATACAGTAGGATGTCATACAACCCCACACTATTTTCTGTTTCACTGTTCAGTAAAAGTATGAACATGAATGACAGTTTACTTCACATTAAACATTCAATCTGTGCTTAAATGGCTTAATGGCTGGACAAGTTACTGAGGAGCTGCTATATGAGTGTTTGACACAAACTTCATTGGTGACGAGAGATCCATGTAAATAGAAGGGGAAAGAAACAAAAAGTTGAGGACTATAGTATTCAAATGTGCATTGATGTGAATGATGTCTTCATGAATTATTCCATAATAAGAGTTAACTGTATTGATACCTTATAGAGACAGCAGTATGATAGGCACCTCTACATCAGTTTGCCCAAAGAGAATATAAACTTTATCTGTGTATTGAAAATCTACTCGTTGGATAAACACATGTTTGATTAGTAAACTTATGACGGTATATTGTTTCTTTTTCGGCATGCTTACAATGTTGTATTTTTTCTTATTGTTTCTAACCTTTTCTGTAGATGTAATTGTTTTAAACAAAAATTACAAAAAGAAAGTAATTTTTGAAAGTATTGCATCTTCCTCGATGAAAATGGAGTGTTATACAAGTACAGTACTGTCAAACTTCAATATTATGTGATTGATTCATGTTCTCATCAGTATAGCTGAAGACCCTTATTAAATCTCTTGGTTGTCTCAAATTTTTGGTGTAACTGGGAGTTCTCTGATCCTCTCACTTTTTATTAGATTTTTTATGTACATCAGAGGCTGGTATTCTATTAGACTGTCCTTAATTGGGGTATATATATGAGGTACTTTCAGGTGGGAAAAGAAGTGCGAGTGCAGAAAATATGGAAACGCTCATACAGGTTTAAGAAAAAAAAATTAATATGTTTGTTGCAATTTTTTCAAAGACAATAGAATTGAAAAAAAGTCATGCCTTTGAATGAATCTTTTATAAGTGTAATTGTTAGTGTGTATAGCATTATTAGTATTACTTCATTGCAGGTCAGATGTTTTGGGTAAATAATGTACATTTATATGCCTAATATTCTGTAAATGCACTCAAATGTAGTACTGTTCAGTATATTAACAACACAGTACATTCACATCTTATTAAATGAAATTACATTATTTTATTGATGGTGTATGAATACATACAGTACTGCAGTAGTTTATAGATATTTTGATGTACAGGTATATCCCGATAACCGACACATATAGGGGCTGTGAAGAGTCGTTCGTTAATGAATCAGCTGTTATTGAAGCAATTAATCCCATTAGACTATAACAAATTCAGGAGGTTAGAGACCGGCCACCCTCCCAAAATTCCCATCTATCCTTGATATATGTCGTGTACACTGTCAAAAAAGAAAAAAAAGCAGACATATAAAGCATTAAATGATGAATGTAAAGCAGAAATTGAGACTGTTATTTACCTGTTGAGGATGGTAGAGATGGTCTAGGGTGGCAAGTTCAAGTCTCTACCACTCTTTGCTGGTTCATCACCACCCTTATTATGTCTTATTACACTTCATCACATCACATCAAGCTATCCCACAAGAGGAACTTTCACTGAGGCATTTAAACATGATTGCGTAACACACGAAGTCAGAAAAAACCCACCAAGTCGGAGACACACGGTAAGTGTAAATATGTGCAGAGAGGCGGGATGAGTTGGAGGCAGCGTGCAGAGCCTTCTCGTGCCAAGAATTTGCACCACGCTACCACCCGCCAAATTCAAAACAGCTCCTCCCGCAATCATCAGATCTCCGGGGTATCAACGAAACGTTGGGTATTTCCCCAATATGCAATAGTCGGTTATGTGAATTGGAGGTGAATGTTACGTCAGTTTTTGGGGTATACCTGTACAGTATAAGGTGAACCGGTTTTTAGATTTGTGTAGTTTTCAGTGAGTTTTTAAATTTTTTCATTCTAGGTGTTCTGTGGTAAAATCCCCAAAGAATTGTACGAAGATGAGTTGATTCCTCTATTTGAAAAATGTGGGGAGATATGGGATTTACGCCTTATGATGGATCCGATGACAGGTCAAAATAGAGGTTATGCCTTCATTACTTTCACCACACGCTCGGCTGCAAATGAGGCAGTCAGGCAGGTATGTTTTAATACATTATATCAAGGTATTGGAAGCTGCGTTTGTATGGTTTGGTAAAGTGAGGAAAGTTTTTGTGAAGCATATGAACTTAGTATGTGAATAGCTGGTATGAGTGTCTTTATGATGAAGATTAATTTTTCATAGGTTCTATTAGTGTTCTTCAGTCTCTTATTGTAAAGATACAGAGAGCATTGAAATTATAGGTTGTACTTATATTTTGTCTTTAATCTTCATTCATTATTTCATGAAGCAAAATCTCTCTTTCAGTATTTTGGTTGAAACAGATTACAGAAGTTTCTACTGATTTTTTTTAAATATTATTATTTTTATTATTATTATTGTGCTCTTCTGTATTTTTCAATTCTCCTTTTTCTAGTGGCTAATCTTTCATCCTTTTGTTGGATCTTTAACTTTCAGATTATCTTCATTATAATATATTTAGTTTCCTTACTGAAACTGTAACTTATAGATAGAAAATTACTGATGAATGTAATAGACATTCGACATATCATGTAACTCTTAGCATCATTTATAAAATAATATCCTGTAATCATCCTACTTTTAAAGCAAGATACAGTACAGTACTGTATTTTTTATTTTTAGTTTTCATTGTCCGAGTCTAGCAAAGCTGAAAGTATTATTCAGAACATTTGTCAAGGACTTCGATTAATAGAAATTAGTTTTGTTGCTATACAGATGGAGCCGTTATTTGAATTGAACTATGGTAATATGATGTGTAAATAATGTTTTGATCACTGCTTACAGAGAATGGAATAAACTTCATGAAAAGTACTGTACTTGGGAGAATACATAATGGAATAGGAGAATACTGATTAGAATGAAGAAAACATATACAGTGCAAGAAATAATGGGCTTTGTCTTTATCATCACAAGATGTTGCAAAAGGTCCATGATTTACAGCTTGCTAATCCCCATGACATCCATCTTACAGTCCGTATGCAATCTTCTGTATAGCAAGTGTAACATGTTTCCAAGTTCTCTCCGTATATAGCCAGCTTTTATAAATCATTAGCCAGTAGCAATACCTTGTCATCATAATTGAGGGCTTGGGTCCTGAAATTCTATTTATGATTGAGAAGTGAGCAAATGGCATATTATCCTACCTTCTACTGACATGTGAAATGGAAGTAGTTGGGTCTTTGGGAAGATCTCAAGAAACCCTGTTTTCTGTTGAGAGAATGGAGGTATAGTATCATGAAAGTTATTGAATAGTTTATCCAAATCTCAGTCACTTACAATTTCAATGGCATAAATATCAATGGAGCACCATTTAGATAGGGTTGGAAAGTTGGCTGCTTGGGCAGTATGCTGCTGCTATTACCTGTATGCGTTAAGGGGATTAGTGAAATGCTGGCATTACCAGAGTATGTTGAGGGGATTAGTGAGCTCTAAATGACAAATTATTAACTTGTCTTTTGATCAGGAAAAGGGAATTTAGGATTCCATACTCCCATATTCAGGGAATGTTTTGTACACACTGTACTTATTTGTCTATGAAACCAAATACATACATATATTGTAATAAAAAAATTGCAATTTAATTTTGCACAAGTGAAGCAATTGACTTCATTACTATTTGAAATACTGATAAGGAAAAAAAAAATTTCTATGAGAACGTTGAAATTAGTACAGTAGGTGATTATAATGTTGGAGATTCCTGACTCCTGAGGCAATTTAGGATTAGCCAAAAGAAAAACAAGTAAAGTCCATGTATTTTAATGGATACCCTTGGCTTAGAGAGCTGCCATCAGCTAATTATGGCCAATCTACAGAAACGTGGAAAATGGCTGTAAAACTGTGCTGATGATGAATATACTGTACATGTAGTAGTCATTCCTGAAATCATGTCTGCCATCTACCAAACTTTCAACCCAATGAAATTTGTGTGTGTGTGCTTGTTTGTTTTATGGTGGGAAGCTTCAATTCTTTGAAAATAACCTCCAATATCCGAGTGAAAATTTAGACAAAATTATTTTAATTGAATTTTTATTTATTTACTTATTTTTTTATACTGTAAAAATTTCTGGAATAATATTTTTAGTATGGGAAGGTGGTGAAAAAAGTTCATACCATATTGAAAAATTGCATTCTCTGGATGTGGTGTTTTCCTCCTCCCTTGACTTTCTCTCTCTTTTTTCTGAGGTTTCTTGCCAGACTTTTTTTTTTTTTTCTTTTTAAATTATATACAGTATACCATGCGTCAAATCAAGTCACAGCTCCTTAGTACACATCAAATCGAATCACTCGGTCGTTAAGACACAAACGCATAACAGGCATGTGGAGAGCCTGCCAGCAGCATACAGTATATACAGTACAGTATGTACAAGATTCCACTTCCTGTATGTTTGCTAAATTACTGTATATGAACCTAATTATGTATTTTTTTATGCAATTCTCATAGTAAGCTTGAGTGACCAGTGCTGTTAGACGAGTGATATTGACAGATCACTATGATGCAAGGTGTTAAGTAAATGATGTACCTGTATTGTCATTTGGGGTGATTGATAAATTTCTTTTGATGTACCACATTGCTAGTTCATTTAAATTAAAGATTATTTTAATAGAATTGGAAGGAATTGCAAATATGCCTTAAGAAAACTTGGGGAGTTGGATTATATCAACTTTTAGTGCATTGAATATACTGTACAGTAAGTTCAGGTGCCTCAAAAGTTTTGTGCTGGACAAAATCGACTTGGGCAAATTTAAAATCATATAGGAAAATGGGGTTAAGGCTGCAGATAGTAACATATTTAGAGCTCTTCATAAATAATATTCTAAGCGTGAAGACCAACTACATGTAAGTAAACAGTCAGATAATGAACATGTTCTTATGGTGGTGGTGATGGTTGGCTTCAGGCTTCATCAGCCTCAAATCTATCAAACTTTACTTAAAATATTTTCCACGCGGTTAAGGTCAGGAATTCTCATGGGTACTTGTAGTGTCTTAGTACTCAAAGGTGTTTTGTCCTCACTGGACTTGCTGATTATATACTCTTGGCTGACAGACTCCACATTCATACTGCTGAGCAACTTGTTAAAAATTGCTATCTTCTCGGCCAATGTGCAGTAGAATGTAAAACGTACTTACCGTGCAGTGATATCACAGTCTGGGGTAAACCATGCAGGCACCATTGAGTGGCAGCAGGCACCATGCAGGGCTTGGACACAAGCACAAGCACAAGCACACACCAATTTCAAGCACATACCCATGGATAAATAAGTGCTGCAGTTTTTTAAGTTGATAATTAAGTGTTGGTGCTGGGTATTTATAATCTTGTAGTTGTGGAGACAGTATCTAACTGATAAAATATTATGGGACCAGTTCTGTATGTGCCATCCTCCAGTGAATACAGGAAAAGGCATACATGATGAACATAATTTTACATAATGTGCTGTAAAATGTATACAGTATTATGAAAAAATAAAGTTGAATTATTGTTCGAACAGTACCTGGTATTAATTTAAAGTGTACTCTTGCATGGGGCAGCAAAATGCTATTTTTATTATTATTATTATTTTTTAACTTCAAATTTCAAACAATACTGTACAGTTTATTCCATGTAGATGGCATAATTTGTGTAGAAATCTTAAAAATAATGACTTTAAGTTTATATACAGTATACAGTATTTTGTTCATTAATTAATTTTACATTAATTGTTGACCCATACTTTTTTGGATTGAGAAGTTGGAGCTGAACAAAAATGCATGAATATTATGAAAAATTGAGATTCGGTAATCATGCATGCCACTGGTATGTTGACTGAAGGCAGTACATATTGTATTTTCGTTATTTGTAAGTATTCCTTTGACAAGAAGTTCCTCAAAGTTTAGTAACTGCATGGCAGCCTTTTCCTAAACTGATATGCACAGGGATAGAGAATTGGCAGATAAATTTGGGCTATACTGTACTGTCATTTTTCTTTGGCATCTTTAAGTACCAATGTTTTCAAATGACATAGGACCAAGACTGACACCATACATTATAGGCTGTATGAATATGTAAGTACTGTATGAAGGAATCACATGTAGTGTGTAGTGCCTTGTGAATAGATAGAAACTTTTGTGGCTGGTGGTCTTCATCCTTATTTACTTTGCCTTAGTTTTTCTTTTGAAGCATTTGTATTAATTATTTTTTGCTTTTATTTTTTATTTATTTATTTTTATATTTATTTTTTGCTGCTGCATCATAACAGGAAAATTCTTTTATATGTGGGGGGGATTCTGTAATCTCAATCTCTGTGCTTTCCTTGACTATTTTTGACTAGATATAGACAAGGGGTAATAGATAATACACTACAGTATACTCTAGAATTTAGCCTCCTTGTTGGGAGGGTTCATACATGCAAACTTCCTGGTCAGAGGTGAAGATTATTCTGGTGTGAATCTGTGTTTTAAGTGTGTGATGAAATAAAAGAAGTGATTGTATGTTATATATATTACTGTAATAAGAGTGGCACTGTAAATTAGCATTAGGCTGAAACCAGGGATGTCACAGAGGAATGATAATTAAACTGACTTCCGTAATTAAGAGAAACTGGGCATATTTTCTAGGGTATATCACAGAATGTGTCTACTCAACCTTTTATGACTACATATTAGCCTTGCCAATGCCTGTTAGTAGACCTCCTGATTTATGAAAATGATTTATTGCACCTTGGGGAATCCAGAGAAAAATAAGGTGTGTTAATTATACAGTAGCAAGAATTAGATAATATTACTCTTCCCTAGGTAGAACACACATTTGATTTATAAATATTGTGTCTTTAGGTAGTATATAAGAGAAGTTACCACATGCTGGTGAGGATATATTGAACAGGCATAAAAATTTGATAACAGATAAAGTAGATTTATACCAATTCATAGATAGGCTGTGAAATCTGATATGAATTTTAGGGAGAGATATATAGTTGATTACAGAAAACTGGAAAGATGGACACTATTTGCGTCTTTAGTTTGTTATACACAGGGAAGTGAAGTGTGCAGTATATGTATAATGTTGGGAAATAAAAAAAAAATGGGTGTTCGCATGCCATTTATTTGTGTACTTGTACGTACTGTATTTGAAGAATAAGGTTAACACGTCACATGAAGGGTTGCCACAAAAAAAAAAGGCTCAAAATAACAAGAACATGTTGCTTAGAGTTACATGATTTCTTACCTTTTTGTACTGAATGATCTAGTGGAGTGGACCCAGAAGTGGTTGACATTATTACAGGAAATAACTAAGCAAAAATAGACATGGAGGAAGGGTTCCAAGCTTATTATATTGCTTAAACTTGTTTGAGGAATTTAAATTTACACTTCCTGTACTGTATTATATGTTTATATGCTGTTGTGGGTTTGAAATAAAAGAATGGTTAGTTAAGTTTTAAGGTTAAAGCATTGATGAGAAGGTGAATACTGAAATAGGAAGAGCAAATAATGAATACAAATTTTTGTAAGGCATTTAGGTTTTGTATTGGGAATGTCAAGAATGTCACAAACTGGGTACTGTGGGGAATTCTCATTAAAGAAGGTTTAAAATTATAATGCATTGCAGTTTGGATGTGCTTTAGTGTACAGTAGTTGAAAATGTGAAGAACTCGAGTGTAACTTCAATTTGTGGCTTTTCATTTTGTGTTTTGCCAATTCTTGTGCCATTGAATTGTGGTATGAATTGGGCTTAATCTACTTAACCCTTCGGCTGCAAAATACCAGTAGAGTTGTCTGCTAGAGGCTGACAAGATTTTGGCATAAATTAAAAAAAATGTGCATCCAGTGACATGTTTATAGTGTGTGTCCCCGTACTCCACCCCTGGACTTCTAGCTGCACGTCAGCACACACACACACACACACACACACACACTGTCATCATGGAAGAAGTATGTTTTCTCCACATGCATCCACCTAGTGTGGTACAGGAGGTCTTCAGTATGGCTAAAGAAAACCAGAAAAAAGTATTTTTGTTTGTTTGTTTTCCATTAGCCTGCATGTATATCATTACTTAATAAGATGAAAATATGTTTCTTTAAGAAATATAAATTATCGTGAGAATTGCCTGACAAAGATGACATTCAGCTCCTCACAACGGCTCAACAAAGGTAGATAAATTATTTATTCTTTAGTTTTTCATTAGCTTGCATGCATAACTTTTGGGGGAGATATAAATGTGTGTTTTAAAAATTTTCTATTTCTGTTATTTGCACATAAGGTGCCTGACGAATCTACCATAAGCTGCAGCCGAAGGGTTAGGTCTCCACCTCTTGCACTATGACAGGAAAATACCAAAATACCAGTACTGTATTCTTCATATATTTTTGGGGGTAAAATTTAACAACAGGTAGAAAGGTTTTGATCTTTAACTATTATAAAAGAGCATAGGTAGTGTGAATATCTTGACCCCTGCATGTATTGTTGGCTGAAGTCTGTTTGAACACATATTGATGTACACAATTGTTGATAAGATCATATTTTATGTATTATATTACATTTGTTATTTAATCATGGTAATGAAGTATGAATTAGAATTGAAGAACAGTGCATTGGAAAATGAAGAAATATTTTAGTAACAGTTTGCGAGGGAAATGGTGCTGACGGGTGGTGCTTAATGCTTGCTCATGTAAATAACAGAATAGAAATGATTTAGGTACTTCATTGTGGAATTAGACACAGTGTACACCTCTCTTATAGCTGTAAGAATGACTGCATGACAGTGAATTATGGGGAAATGTGTATATGCTTCACAGACTACTCTACATTAAGTGGGAATAAAAGTGTGCATAAGTTGGTGTGGAACCTCAGGAATCAGGATACTGTACTCACAGGACTTCAGCTAAGTGTCCTTTTACATGAATAGGGAGGAAAAGAAGCTTTTACAGTAAAACCTCGATAGTCCACATTTTGGAGCCTTGGTTAGTTGATGAGCCATCTGCCTCAGTCCTCCTTTTGCCGTTGTGTACTTTTTGTGTGTGTGTGTTGTTTTTCCTGGGATTATCTTTAATTAGTTTAGTTAATATAAGTCACCAGACATTAAAATAAGGCTAGGAATGCTGGTAAATCTTTGGTGGGTGGTAAAACACCATAAAGAAAGGCTCTAACTTTAACAATTACTGATTAACCACTTGTGTACGGGTCTCTCTCTGTGCCAAATAAAATCGTCTGGCATTAGCCAAATAAAGTATTAAAATACAGTTTAGATGTAAAGTAACAAAAGAACAAATTCAAGTCTTTCATTGCAAATACTGCTGACTCAAGTAAAAGTGGTGACAAAAGGTATTGAAGATGCTAAATCTAATCAATAAGATGAACATTGGTCACTGGATACTAGGTAATTTTTTTTTATTTGTCTGGGTTTCCTTAAGTATTTAGTATATATAGTAGGTGTAATAATTTATCACTTCCACCACTTTTCAAAATACTGTCCGTTTGGGTGGTCTGTCTGTTCTTTGTTACGATCTATATTGTCCAGTGTAAATACAGGAGGAAACCAGAGTACTACCTGGAGAAAACCTTCAAATTTTGTTAGGGTCACACTGGATAACACCCTTCTCCCATCTCACCTGGGGATTTGAACCTGCAACACACTACCTCTTTTATTAAACTGGATATTGTAATAGATATACAGGTATTATGTTTTCTTTAGGTAATTAAAGATAATGTAAATATTTTTATACTGGAATTAGTATTTTCTCGGTATTTTGAAATATTCAATCCTCCGAATGCCTTTCGTTCCCTGGCAATTCGGCTAATCATAGTTCTACTGTAGTTTAGAAGATGAGTTAGAAATTTGTAAAAACACTTTTAGTTATTAAGACTTTAAAAGTATACATACAAATATAACTGACCAGAGCTGTATACTGTACACTTGTGATTTATCTGGACTCTGTTGCTACACCTAACCTCACTGACACTTTCTACTATGCTCATAACCTCACTGACACTTCTGGAGCTGGTGACGATGGCTGTCGTCCCCCTCCCCCCTTCCAGTGGTCATAATCCATGTCAGACTTAGCTGCCTGCGTGGCTACGGGACTGCACTGTCACTTAAACTATGACGTGACCAGTCACATGGTAAGTAGAAGATTGAGGGATATTTGATGTCTTGATTACTGAAACTTGTGGTGTAGTGGAGGGACTGAAAAAGTATGCAATCCCCATTAGCACTTTGCTATATTACTTTGTCATTATTTAATGGAAATTTCTAGTGAAATACTTGGAACTGAAAACATTTTCACATTTATGAGGTATCCTGATTATCGAGTGTCCTGGTTTTGAGGTTCCACTGTGTGTGAATATGTGTGTTTTTTAACTACTATACTTTAATTCTTATATTCTTATAGGGGGTGGGGAAGGGAGTTTGTACAGTACTGAGGATGTGAATTGCTGCCAAAGAAAATTTCTTTCCATGGAATTCCTCGCCTTTGTTTAGTGGTTTTGAGTGTGTGTGTATATATATATATATATATATATATATATATATATATATATATATATATATATATATATATATATATATATATATATATATATATATATATATATACATATATATATATATATATATATATATATATATATATATATATATATATATATATATATATATGTATATATATATATATATATATATATATATATATATATATGTGTGTATGTATGTATATATGTATATATGTGTATATACATGTATATACATGCATATACATGCATATACATGCATATATGTCATGTATATATATATATGTATATATATGTATATATATATATATGTATATATATATATATACATGTATATACTATATATATATATATATATATATATATATATATATATATATATATATATATATATATATATAGTTTTATAAAGGAAGACTGCTTTGATGTTTATATTTTTACCTTTTCTCTCAAATTTTAATACAGTAATATAAAGAAATTCTTTCCATTTTCCCCATAAATTTTTTAGATTTACTGTATTATTAATGTTATTTGTAATCATTGGTGAAACTGTAATGGAACCTTCCAAGTTTTTCAACTTGATTGTAAGGATTAACGTGATTACATTCATTATGAAAGTGAAGGGTAAGTGCTTAATTAATATTGTGTGGCCATTAAAGAATGAATGTTGTATGCTGTTAGATGTGGCATTTATTGTTTAATGTTATAGCAGATTTAACTGTAATGGTGCAATAAACACTTGAGCTGCACTTCAGTTTTAATTTAAAGTTTCACACAATTTAAAAGTGTTGTAGCTTCCTTTTAGAACCCTGGCTCAGGAAGTTTAATACCAAAATTTTTATAAAAAAAAAGAGAAAGGAAAACTAAATTATCACACTACGAAAATACAAAAAAAATTGTAGCAGTATACGTTAATGCATCAGTTTACGTGATGCAGTTCATCGGCGTGGAACTGTGCTCACTCTACCTGAACTATTCTAAACTCTTCTCTCTGTGAGAAGTGTTCCTTCAGAATGCAACACAGTAGTTGTAGTTTGCTGTAGTATTTGCAAGTAAACATTAAGGCCCAAATCAGTTTTCACTGATGCCAAGGAGGTATTTTTTTTCTTTTTCACAGCTTGATAATTACAATGTCAGGGAAAATGCTGCCCTGAAAGTTAATATTAGCATTCCTAATCTGCGGCTGTTTGTGGGGAACATCCCAAAATCAAAGTCAAAAGAAGAAATTCTGGAAGAATTTTCAAAACGCACAGGTAAAGTGAGAGCGCTCAAATGTTTGTTTGTACACTTTCATTATCATGAGGTATTCCTCTGACCATATCCTTAGTTTACCTCATTTACTCAGAGGAATACCTCATTTTCATTGCCAGAATCTACTTGTCTTGAGGGCTATGGAGTTTTATTTCAGGGATCCAAGTAGATTCACATGTAAATCTTAATTTATGCCCATAAACAGGAATCGTCATGTCTTTTGCAGCTGAATGAATATGAAATTCAGCGCGGCAAAAAATTAGGGGTCACTATTTCATACAACAATCATCGATTGTTCGTAGGAAATATCCCCAAGAACAGGGAGCGACATGAATTATATGAGGAGTTTGCAAAGCACGCACGTAAGTTGACCTTTGTGTCACAGGTAGTCAGTGGCTTGTGGGTATGTCAATCCTAGCTGTGCGTTCTGTCACCATTGACTTGGCAGCTTCTTACACTAAGAATGTGTTTTAAGTGGTCCCCTCTACATTTTAGATTGTAAAGCTAGACATTTCCACAATATAACTGGCTCTAAACATGGTTGCTTGATGGTGCATCATACTCACTGCTCCCCCTGTGAATTCCCCATTCCACACATCCTAAGTTTATCTCCCATGGATTAATTTAGTAATAGCACTGTTTGATGCTATGCTGAAGCTATGGCATCCTTACCTGCAGCAGCTGAAAGGGTTTCAAATATAGGTTTTTCGTGGCAGTATTTTTTCCCAGTTTCCTGGTGACACATTGGCCACTTTTTTTTTTCTCTTCCCTTTTTGCAGAATCCATGTCATTGCCCTGACTCCAACTTGCAATGTCTTGCTATATGACAAATTTGAGGAATATTCAGTTTAAATGATAGATTTCTTAATAAAACCTTTTAATGCATTCTGATCAATGGTTGTCATATGGTTAGGCATTGCCCTCTTATACTTGATTTGCTAGTGGTGTTGCTTGCATGGAATTTTACAGCAGTGATGGCTAATTTGGTCCTGTAAACCATACACTAACATGACTCCAATCAGCCTTTATTTATTATTTTTGTTGTTGTCCCCCTTATTTTTTTTTATTTTTTTTTACAGTGGTTCTACCAGTTTGGTTTTCCACAATGCAACTTTATATCCCAATACACGCCGTATAGGTGCCAAATGTATTAGATTTAGTTAATGATAAATAGAAAGCTATATAGTTTTACCAAAATATTGCCATGACATTTAATATAATGGATATATTCTTTTTATTTTTGAGAAATATGAAAAATATTACTTGATTAAAACTACTGGTAAATATTGATACATAAATTCTATACTTTTCTACTATTTACTTAACAGCTGGTCTCGTTGAAGTGATAATTTACAGCTCCCCAGATGATAAGAAGAAGAATAGAGGTTTCTGCTTTTTGGAGTATGAGTCACATAAGGTGTGTAATGTTACCCTTTGGTATTAACCAGAACCGTGAATAGTTATGGTTACTTTTGGAAGTTTCATTCTATAATTATTAGCCAACTTCATTTCATTTACCACATACAATGAATATTTTTTCACCTATTTCATATTTTTATTTAATGTATCCTTAAAATAATCTCGTATTCCATCTGAAGTTCTTTCTTATGGCAGATGCCTTAATCTATCTTTCATCGATTTATTTGTTAGTTCTTCACACTGTTTCCAACCAATTTCTTGGCAGTCATATGTCAAATTCACTTTGAATCCCAAAAGTAATTATTTAGTGTGACAACTTCTTTCCTGGTCTCTGATTGGCCGTGTGGCATCTTTGAATTTTCTTTGTACAATATTTAGTTGCCCCTTTGAAATTAAAACATAGGAACTCCTCTCATGAGTCCATAGAACTCATGATTGTACCAGTCTCAGTGATGATTGTGAGCACCTGTTGTGAAGACTGAAGCTAGAGTGAGCCCCCCCCCCCTAGCAAGGAGATGTACAGCATAATGATTGTTATATAGTACTGTACTGTCTTGTTTTAATTATATACATTGAACCTTTGCTAATTTGATATTGCCAGAGCTCTGGGTCAATTGAATTAGTCCTTAATATAGAATTACCCCACCATATTGAAATTATGTCACCGTTCTCAAAAAATTTTATACACAGACAAGGGGGAATTTATGGAATACAGAACACTCGTTTATGCTGGCTTTGCAAGAGCCAGACCTGCACCACTATTTTTAGTTTTACTCCCCTATTATTGTTTATGTCGGGTTAAGTTTCACACAGTTGTGTATATGTATCACACTTTTCATCTTTCCTGTGTGTAATGCACCAGAGGAAAAACTATGTGCCACATTTTACCTGGAGCACTGTCTGGGTCTCATTCTTTTAACTGTTTTGTTAGGCATTTTAATAATTTTTTGTGCTTGTAATTAGTAAATAAACATTCTGGAGTTTGATAACCACTTTGATGACATCTTCAAGTTACCGTAGTCTTTTTCCTATTTTCACTTTTTTTGCATATATAATTTTATATCGTGATGAATTTATTACAAATGGGTAATTACTATACAGAACTGTGAATATATTTTGGTCATATAAGAAGTACCATGAATGAAACACCATAGCTGTGCCAGATCATTGCCTGTGAAATTATCTTCTCTATTGTTTTATTCTGCACTTGACAAATTTTAGTGTTGTAGAAAACATCTTATATTTTTTCAAACATTAATATTACAATTTACACACACACACACACACACACACACACACACACACACACACACACACACACACACACACACACACACACAAAAAAGTCACTTTGGTTATGGAGATTCAATTTCAATTATGCTTTATGCAGTAGTATTAGTTTTCATTGTGGCTGCATTTTCTAGTAATGCAAGTCCCAGCATAGATAAGGCAACCTGTATAAGGACAGTGCTAAATACTGTTCAGTAAAATGCCAAAAGCCCTCTCACGGAGGGTTTTCAATTTTCTATCAAAATTAAATAAATTGTGTAAAAAATACCCTTTGTTAATTTTTGCTCACTGTTTATGTAAAGCAGGAATATTATAGAAGGCCATTTTTTGGAATACAATATTCTTGCTTTTAATTCCTTGCAGGTTAAAAAAAAAAATTGTTTATGGCATCACATGAGATTGAAAGGTCATGTATATAATATTTTTTTTTAAATGATTCTCCAACACAGTACAGAATGTTAATATAAGATAAATGTAGTTATCTGCTATCATCTGATATAAACGGTCACAAATTGACAGTTGAAAAACTAAAAAAAAAAAAAATGATGGTTGTGTGGAAGTGGCTGTGCCACCTTCTACAGTAAAACCATCATAATTCATAAAGATTAGAGCATTCTAAATATGAAATTCAAGAATATAGACTAATTTTCTTGTTTAAATTTCCACATTAAAGTTAATGAGGAGAAATTAAACAAAACAATCAGGCAACTGGCTTAATGATTTGTGTGCATGGTGATGTGAGTGATGAATCTACTTGTGTCCATTTCAGTTTGGGGAGCAAGTTGCTTGCTGCATATGGTGGTTATAGGAGAATGATGACACATTGAAAGCTATTTGTAGACTTAGTATCATTGAAAGTGTTAGAGAATAATGAAGTAAATTAGTGTAAAGGTATTCACAAAGACTGTGGTGCAGTATAATTAAACTGACACAAGTACTGTACAATAGTCTATTACGTGCTTTCTTTGGACACACATTCACCTAATGTAATTATCCATTTTACGGAAGCTTCTTGGTCTCAAATGTTTTAGTTGATGGTTTCTGTGCTCTAATTTATTACTGGCTTTACTTTATATTCAACTGTATGATTGATCATCTGGGATTCCAGTTCATTTTGGCATTCACTTTTAAACAGGCTGCTTCCTTGGCAAAGCGGCGATTAAGTTCTGGACGGTTCAAGGTTTGGGGCTGTGAAATAATTGTAGATTGGGCAGATCCTCAAGAAGAACCAGATGAAGATACAATGTCTAAGGTAAAATAAAACATTGTTACAACTGTGCATTCTAATTATGTCAGATTTTATTCTGAAGAATAAATTTCCAGTGTCATTGGATTTATGCTTACTTCATTGGGTACTGGTTTATGAAGTCCAAAACTTAAAGAGAATCTTGTTTGAACTTGGTATTTATGTTCATTATATTGATAATCACTATTGTTTATATATTTTTCACTCCTGTTGATAAGCATTATTGTTCATAACATTGAAATTTTAGGCTTACTTTATTGGTAATCACTATTGCTCCCAAAAATATTGTCAATGTTGTATAATTATAAGCTTAGAGTTTAAATTTTAAAGAATATTTCTAGTAAGAAGTTGATGGATTAATGCTAGCTTGTAAGTGTATGTATAGTATAAATTTTCCTTCACAGGTTAAAGTTTTGTATGTAAGAAACCTCACCCAGATGACAACAGAGGAAATGCTTAAGGAGAAATTTGATGAATTTGGAAAAGTTGAACGTGTTAAAAAGATTAAAGATTATGCTTTCGTTCACTTCGAGGAGAGAGATGAGGCTGTAAAGGTAAGACTGAATAAATGTGACATTGTTTTATTATGGAATATTTTAAAGTGTTCTCAAATCCCTTTGTGCTTACACATTTGTGAAAATGGCAGATATTTGTAGCTTTTCCTTTTTAAAGCTCCTTGACAGATGAGATCTTTTTTGTATTATACTTCAATTCTTATGTATCTATCTCACTGTAAAAAAAGGGGGGGGGGGCTGTGAAATCATCGGGACCCTCAAAAATAATAAATAAAAAATATTTTGGCGAGCATAAGTGAAAAGTCAGATTCCTCTTCGTGCTGTACCCACAGTCAGTATAAAATGCACATGGCAAGAAAGAGTAAATCATGAGGAAGATGATTGTGTAATCAGGAAAAAAGCTAATGTAAATAATAATGGAATTACAGAATAAAAAGTAAAAATAAGTGGTGGTTAGGTGCACAGTCGTCAAATTGTTTATACACATTTATTCCTTGCTAGTTTTTTGTCAAAATCTTTTGAAAGTATTTTTTTTTTGTGATGGATTATTACTGTACACATACTAAGGAAGAGAAATAGACCAGTTAGAAGTTTGTGATAAAAACTGAAAATTTTGCGATAATATTTTCCATTTGCCACTCAGACGATGTAGGCCTTGGCATATGCACAACAATGGCATTACAAATACCCTGTACATGTCAAATAAGCACAATATATTTAATAAAATTCACCATATCCATGTGCATTCCTCTACTGCACTACATTTCACTATCACTTATTATTTTTCCAACCTGGGCCTATACAGTATATTGAGACTTGCTTTTGTGTGGTGCTGTATATGTGACTGTATTTTGAGTAGCCATTTCACTGTCTCACAAATTTAAAAAATATTTCCCTATTTCATTATAAGTATTTCAATACACATCACTTTATCACTTCATAAGAACAAATATCGTGGTTGTAAGAGATAAATATCTGGAGATAGTGGCACATAATGCCACGGTGGCCATTTTTAAGTCGCGCCTGGGACCGAGACACTCATTACTTCCTGAAGCAGAAGCATTACTGGCATTTGTTGTCTGTTACCGCCACTTATGAGTGTATCATCCCGAGTGTTAATACGGGAAAGAATAATGTAGGTTCAGAAAAGGAAGATGATGTGTGGATCAAGTGTTTCAGTTGAAGAATGTGAGTGAATTATTTGTGGCTTTTATGGATCTAGAAAAAGCAGCTGATTTGAGTAGATAGAAAAGCAATTTTAGAAATATTGAAAATATATGGAATAAATGAATGTTATTTTAATTGGAAGCTTTTTCAAGAAGAGGGGAAACTAATTCTAATTGAAAGTGGGACTTTAAGAATATGTGATGTTTCATGCTTGTTTAACATTTTCTGTAAGTTTGGTAAATACAGTAATGGTACAGTATGCAAATGAGAATAGGCTGCAGATTTCTTCAGACTCTTAATGGAGTTTCAGTTTTTAGGTTCCCAGGGTCATTTCTGAAATCCACACAAATTTGTAGATAAAATTTAGGGGGTGCTGGTCATTTACTAGGACTCTGGCAGTCCTCAAATCCCTGGCCTAAAATTTTCAGAGTAGGCAAGAACTTTCTAATCCCAGGTGTGTGAGAGGCAGATTCAGTTTATGTTTGAAGATGACAGTGCTCCTGTGGCTGTGCAAAGCTCAAGGGAGGGGGGGGGGGTGTTACTTGGTAGTTACTCTGTTTGTCAAGTTTGTTGGTTTATTGAGGGTTGTTAGACTGTTGGTGGACCGAAGATAAATATTTTAGTTCTTTGTTGTGGATGTAGGAGGATGAGGGGAGCTTTGCACTGGATATTCTAACAATCAATTTCGGTTGAGGTGAACTAACACTGTACTGAAGAGAAAGTTCCAAGTGAAAGAATCTGATAATTAAAAAAGAGGTCATAAAGGTTGCCAAGCAAAGGAAAGTGAGTGTTGAATTGTTTAAAAGGATGATCTAAGGGACTGGATATACAGGGTACAGAACTGTGCAGTTGAAACTTTTTTAGGTTGGTGACCAGCTCCTTCCTGAATGGCTTAGGTAGTTCCTTTTGATGTCTTCGATGAATCAACCTGCATCTGCCAAACAAAATTATAGATGTGTAGTTTGCTTTTGTTTCATTTAATAAAGTAAGAAAATATAGTTACAGTGGGGTATGCTATAACGAATCTAATTGGTTCTAGAACCTTGTTCGTTATAGCATTCGTTCGTTATAGGATTAATCTGTTCCAGGCCCCCAAATACGACCACTTAACACTGAAAAATATAATATAAAATTGTAAAAATTGTAAAAAAGTGCATAAATATGCATCTAAACCCCTGAAATAAAGAATATCATTAATACTTGTAATAAAAAACAATAAATTGGTAAAAAAAAAAAATTAAATAATGTGCGTTGTAGGAGTTTCGTTCGTTATAGCATTCTCAATTTTATAGGTAAAACCGTACGTTGTAGGAATATTCATAGTAGGATCCGTTCGTTATAGCATACCCCACTGTACATAATTTAACAATGTTAATGTTTGTCTTGTGAATAAGGGTATGTATACAGTACAAGCATTTTGTCAAGAGTCCGATTATATTATTTTAGTTCTTTCAATAAAAAAATAGTCTCTGGGAAACTGGATTTATATACTGTACCTGCTGCCAGTTAATAGAAACTGCTTTTAAAAGTTATTGAAAAGTTGATATCACCAAAATAATGGTCAGTGAGATGAAGCAGTATGAATTAACATTCACATTAGTTGCTGTTCAGTAATTAACAAAAAATAAATACACAAATGGAAAAAATGAAACAAATCAAGAATGAGAAAGAACATACAGTCCAGATTAGAGGGAGTTTACTGTTTTAGGAAATACAGGAGGAAAAATTAGAAGTACAGTAATGTTATGCTGAAGAGTTATGTACGATGTGAGTAGAAAGAAAAGAATGAAAACGATATTAATAGAAAAAGTGAAGGAACAGTAAACAGAGGTGATTGAGGATTGCTAAAGTGGTAAGGATATTCTGCTTAGGAAACAGATGATGGTGGAGATTGAGAGAAAGACCATTTACAGTATACTCTCGATTTAACGGAATCCGATATAGTGAACTGGATCGCTAAATCTAGATTAATTATGTTAATATGCTCACACCTACGGAGACACTTCAGACAATTGATATGTACATAGAAACATTATTTGTGGCTTACCTTAAACTAGTTGGTTCGGTGATTGGTTTCAAATTTTTTATTTCCAAACTTTTTCCAATTGATAGCCGCACTCTTTTGATGGAATCACGCTCGATTTAGTGAACTAGTTCGCTAAATCGAGCGAAAATTATGGAAATTCAATTTAGTGGGAATTTTGATTAAATGGAAAGGGGTGGCTCGAATTTGTTCGTTAAATCGAGAAAATATTGTAGGAGGTAAAAGAGAGGGAATTGGGGGAGGATGGAGATTCAGGAAGAAATAGTATGGTAGCATGTTAGAAAAAAAATTGTGGCATCAAGTTATATTTGGGGATAGGCATACTTTTGATGTATGATGGTGGGTTATGTGTTGTAGAAATAATAATCCAGATAGAGAGAGAATGAGTTTTAATGAGTAAGAGAGTCTGTGGTCCTCTTGATCCTGTTTATTCTACTTCATGCTGAGAGAAGGCTTAAAAAAGTTTTCATGTGATTTTTTACATTTGTAGGCGATGGATGCGCTACAAGGGAAGGATCTTGGTGGTGCCAATATGGAGATTTCCTTGGCTAAACCTCCATCTGATAAAAAGAAGAAAGAAGAAGTTCTTCGGAATAGAGAAAAAAGACTTATGCAGATGCTAGCACAGAGAGGGTAAGTACATACTTTTTCCTTTATTATTTTTGTAGCATGTACAGTACTTAAAAAATTATTTTCAGTACATAATTTTGTAGGTTTAGTGAGTCTTTATTCAGGTAGTTAGGCTTTAAAAGTGAAAACTTTCTAAGGCCGGATAGGCACATGGTAGTATTCAGGTTGTAGGGTTTAAAAATTAAAACTCGCCAAGACAAAGGCATTGTTTGTCATGGTGGGTACAGTTGTAGACAGAAAGAATTCTGCATGTAGGGAGGGTAGGCATAGATGGAGACTTGGCGACGTTGAAGAGAGGTGATTGTTAAAAGTCAGCAATTTTCTCTCCACACTACAATTTGATTTATTTTAGTAAATTTCAAGGCAGATGCTGCTTATAGGAACAATGTGATGTAAATAACTCTCATACACTAAAACTACCAGTAAACGTGAAAGGTTAAATGTTGAGGAGACTTCACCACTACCTGTATCTTGATGTGACTTGCCAAGTCTCCACTTGCACCCTTACCATTCCTCCCTCCCAGCAAAATTCTTTTTGTCTACAACTGTAATAGAGGTGAATATTTCAAGGGCAGTTATGTCAACCAGTTGAATAGAAAATTGCTATTGCAGTATTTGCTTATTTTAAACAGTGCTGAAGAGAACAATGATGTTAACAGTACTGGTTGTAAGATATGGAAAGATTTAGATTACAGTACGTACATTGATTTGGGGAGCGTTGTGTAATTGGAAGATAAAGAATGAATTAAAAATTTGGGGAGTTTACAGACTGGAGGAAAAATATTTATATAATAGAAACTTGAGGTTTTATAGCAAGTCTGGAAACCAAATAATTTTCCCAAATAATTGGGCTGGAACAGGGCCACTAAGCCTCGACAAGAGTAACATTCAGTATTCCCAGGTCTTGTTGGATAAAAGTGAACTAAGAATTCCTTGCTGCTTGGGTAATTTTAACTATTTTCTTCTCATGAGTTTATTTTTCAATGAGACTGGTCCAGTCTCTCATCTACTTCAATGAAAACAGGCATTATTCTGTCATACACCTTAACACCTTACAAAGTACACTTGAAGACCTGAGCAGCACACATGGACACAATTCAATTTTACATGTAGAAGGTTTAACCCCCCCTCTCCCCCAACACACACACACCAATATTTATTTGCATGAAGGTATATCTCCTCAACTATTAATTCATGATATGGGTAGCGTGCTCAGCCCAATTCACTTACATACTGTATATCTTTCTAAAGACTCGTTCTCTTGCTTATTTCCCATGACTTTGTAGCTATTCCACTCTTAATGCCCCAACATTTTTGTAAGGTATTCATTTGTACTATTACTTCTTTTATTTTAATCTCTTCATATTTCAGAAGTTTTATTTTTTTATGTACCTGTACTGTATATGCCAGTCCTGATGGGAATTAGTATGTGAAAGTGTTATACATCTGGGCCAGTATACATAAAGGCTTTTAGAGATAAAAGTCACCGAATTTTCTGGTGTATATGACGCACCGCCCCATAAGACTCACCCCTATTTTTCAAGGATATTTTGTGGAATTTATTTTTTTTAGTATGTTTCATCATACATTTATTGAAAGTGATTTTAAAGTGGTTTTGTAAAGGGAAAGAATGATTTTGTGCATGTAAATACAATGCAGTATACAGCTGCTCCTCGACTTACGACGGGTTAGGGACTCAAATCCAGGTCGTAAATCGAAAATGCTTAAATAATACATAGAAAATCTAAAATGGGTGTCTCTTTTTCTTCTCAGCACCACAAAACTCTCACTTTTAAGCTTGCCAGCCATTTTAAAGTAAATTACAAACGAAAATTTTGTCAATACACAGCGCAATCACTAACGTTGGGACTCGAAAATACGCAATTTGACAAAATTTTGGAACGATTGAGGCGGTCGTAGGTCGAGTATATCGTAAGTCGAGGAGTAGCTGTATACTGGAATCAAGTAGGAAATAATATATACTGTAGTACCATTATACTAACCCAACTCTGATCAGAACAGCTGTGTGGCTTGTTCATATTGTGGTCAAGAGAATTACTGACAGAATATGAAACTCGTATTTTTGGCTGTGGTGTTTTGTTTTGCCGTGATCTGCCACAAATGTGTAGCACCATCGCTATTGTTTTGGCTTCATCGACTCTTTGCAAATGGCTGACTGGCAGCTGAACTTTCTGTTAATATTTCTTTAATCTTTCTTGGGTCATTTTTCATGTAGGTAATAAACAAATGTTTCTTAAAGGTAACACAGTTGTTAAATAATGTAAGACATGTATCTGGTGTGGGTTATGTATGCTGGGGAAAGAGGTACAGTGAGTTGTGAGCTTCCCTCTGTCGTTAAGCCAATGTAAGCCATGATTTACGTCTTCAGCAAATTTGTCATAAGTTTGTGATCATAGAATGTGATAATTTGTCTTGTTTTTCAGTATTTTATTATCGGTAATAGTATTAGTAAAAAAATTTTTGTGCTTAGTGGACTACTGCTTGTCCCGGACTCCCTAGCTAGGCACCTTCATCTACGGCGCTCGGCCTCCCATCCTTAATACGGGCGCATTAGACACAGGTAATTTGTGATATACAGTGGTCCCTCGGTTAACGAATGGTTCGATTAACGAAATTTCGGTTAACGAATTAGCTCCCATAAGGATCTTTAATTCGGTTAACGAACAAAACTTCAATTAACGAAATCCTTACGACAAACACTTTTTGTTGTGAGCATCAGCTGATCAGCTAGTCCGCCAATACAATAATCTGTTCTATGTTTACATTCGTTTCCAGTGGAGTAAATATTAAGAAGGTTGTGTTCTTGAATATATTTGCATTTTTTATATTAAAATTATTGGTCATTCTAAAATTTAGCCATCCAAGTTCTGTCTACATATAGTTTTTCAACTAATATTTTTGGCTCAATATATGAAACTTTATTCATTTATTGAAATACATTTACATGCACACACTGTCCTAAGGGCAAAGCTGTACTGTACATGTAATCAAAATAATGTACAAAATGATTACTAAAATTTTTGTCTAGTGCAAACTATTGCATGTTTACATTCAAATTAATCACTATCTTATAAGAATTCCAGCAATGTAAATTATATTCTCCCTGGCCACTTCTATGATATTTTATAAGCAAAAAACAAAAACTCAATCTAAAGGACATAAATAAACAAATAAATACTTCACTAGACCTTCCTTTTCCTCCCCCCCCCCCTCCCAGTGTCAGGGTTTGGTGGTTATACAGTAGGCTTTAAGTTTTTATCTTATATAATATCACAGACTAAAGTTAGGAGAATATAATTTGCATTGCTGGAATCCTTGCAAGGCAGCGAATAATTTGAATATACACGTCATATATTTTTCACAAGAGATAAAAATTAATCACCTGTACAGGTATTACATTACAGTTGTGATTTAAGAGTTCTAGTGTATATGTATGTACAATATATATATATATATATATATATATATATATATATATATATATATATATATATATATATATATATATATATATATATATATATATATATATATATATATATATATATATATATATATATATATATATATATATATATATATATATATATATATATATATATATATATATGTATATATATATATATATATATATACATACATACCCATACATATATATAGTCATAGCTTGTGTCAGTATTCAACCTGTGCTTATGTGTTGTATATATATATATATATATATATATATATATATATATATATATATATATATATATATATATATATATATATGTATGTATATATATGTATGTATGTATGTATGTATGTATGTATGTATGTATGTATGTATGTATGTATGTATGTATGTATGTATATGTATATATGTATAGATAGAGTGTATGTATGTATGTATGGTATGTACACACACACATACATACATACACACATACATACATACATACATACATATATATATATATATATATATATATATATATATATATATATATATATATATTGACTTAAGGCAATTTAGGGAATTTTTAGGAGTTTCTAATTTTATATTTTGGCTTTACTTTAATTCACTTTTCTGTGAGCTGGAATCAATTACCCAATACTGTATCCCATTGAAATAATGGATTCGGTAACGAACGACTCTGTGGAGCGAATTGTGTTCGTTAACCGAGGGACCACTGTATATGCGCATATATTTAAAATAAAAGATAAATAAACGCGTCTTATACGCCAGCAAATACGGTACTTCTAATGGCAATGTTTTACTTCTAACTGCTAAAATCTCACTACTTAAGTTATACCTAGAGATTTTAATTCTTAAAAGTACGTTTAAGATTAGAAGTGGTGTGGGAGGACTTCTTGGTAGTTTGAGAGTACAGTACAGTACTCCTAGTCAACAAGATAGCTGAACAACAACAACATCGGCGGTGAACCTTCCGAGAAAGAAGAAATGTTCTAAATGATTAGGTGACGTTTGAGTTAATGAAGAGATACTGCTTAGACTGTGCAGGCATCCTGGCAGTAACTTTCATAATTAGGGGGTACAGATTCGAACAGAGAGAAACATAGCACTTGCCCCAGAGATGAAAATGGCTATAGCCCTGCATTATTTAGCCACTGGCAAGATACAGCCTTCTATCAGCCATGTTATTAATCAAACTCTTGATGCTCTCTCAGAGCTGTATTTAGACAGTTGATCAACTTTCCACTCACTGAGACAGTAAGGGGTCCACCACATGGTTAATATACTGTATACCGGTACCTTGCAGTCGTTCATAGTTAATATTTTTCATCTATTCACGTTTGTTTGTCATAAAATGCATTAAGATAATTTTAGTAAAAATATTAAACATATATTACAATTTATTTAGCCAAATAACCAATTTATATTTTGTGTTTTTGCTAGATGTAGATGTTAGCAGTACTTTCAACTCCCAAAAGTCATTTTTACTGCTAGCTTTATGTATGTGCAGTATTGTACTTATAAT